TCAATCTTTCATATGTTTTTTTCAAAGGCTTGGCAAGAAACCAGGGGTAATATTTTTGCAACTGGGAATGTGTGTTTGCTGAAGAATATTCCCACATTTGAATCATCATCAGGGGTCCTAGTCTTGTTTTACTTTCAAAGGTAGAGAGGGCATAACATTAACCCCAACTGGGAAAAGGAAAATGCCTCACTGTAATTCTCCTCCAGGGAGCAGGGATAAAGGGATTACATATGCCTGCATAATGGAGAATTTCCTCACTCAGACAAGACAAAAGACTTCATTATTTTTCACCAGACACTTGAAGCCTTGTGCCTCCCAGCTCCAGAAGCCAAGCAGGCAGACTTTTTTTAAAAAAAAAATATGAAGCCACTAGATGGAGTTTCTAGGAACTGGCCCTTCTAGTCCTTGTCATGATGAAGAGACAGAGAGAAGATGTTGAAGACCTTAATTCCAAGACGATATCGATCTTTCCCCTAAGTCGTGAGAGCTTCCCTGAAGATCAGTGTGTTCTTTCCTGTACCATTATCTTTGCTTTTTCTCTAGGCAGCAAACAAATGAACACTCCCTTCCTGAAAACATATTTTTTTAAATTCTTATGTGAGATCAAAAGACATCTAAATTTAAATGAAAAATTTTAAGTGGCAAAATGTAACTTAATTGAATTTTACAGTACTTCTTCTGAGTAGGTCTTTTACTAAAATATCGGTAACATATTAAGAGCCTCAAATTCCTTATTGGTAAAATATTAAAAATCTCAAATTCCTTTGTTATTTGGTACTTTGGCGTGGTGGTAGATTGCTATAAGACAAGATATATGGAGACCATGTTCCCAGTGACAGGTCAGAACTCCCTTTTACGATATTGAAATGAGTGCAGCTCAGCCTCATTTCAGCTTACAGGGTTTCCCTTAATAGCTTTCACCTAGAATGTAGATAAAGGTTTATAAATTTCCTACTTGCAGGAAGCAATGTCTGATTTTCTTTGATTCCTGTCTAAGGGTCCCATCTATCATAGGTGTGCAGCTCATTTTTTGATGGCATAGTATTCCAACTTGAGGTAAAATTAAGATGATGTAGCATGCCCTTTAAAAAGTATATTTCAAACACATGCTGTTTTGTTTGTGATTGTTTTCATGCTTGATAAGGATGAAGTGATCAAAAAAGAAATTAAAATATTTGATCTTCACAGAATTTCAAAGTTCATTCATTTAACAAATATTTATTGAGCACCTACTGAGTTTTCTCGTTCGAAAGCCATTGAAGATACTCAAAGGAAAGGGGGAGACATGGGAGCACTTGATCCAAGAAGAGACTGAACAAGAGCACCACTGAATGGAGATGGAGACTGTTTACCTTTGCTTTGGCACCAGACTCAGAGGTGGAGTGCTGGGATGTGTGAGGCTGGCACAGGGAACCATGTTGAGCCTTAAGCACCAAAGATGACCTCTTAACACCAAGCCAATTTGGCCCTATCTGCCTGTCTTCACTTTGCTCAGATTACATGGGTACTTTTGGAGCCCAGGAAATGAGGAGGTGGGTATACAGCCTCTGCTCAGAGAACAGGAAGACCCTGGCAGGGCCCTCTCAGTGAGCAAAGGAAACCACCAAGTTTATGCTTGGCTCCAATAGAACTCTGAAGTCACCTGTTACATGGTTTAATGGACCCAGAATTACTGGGCGCTTTTTTTTTTCATCGTTTATCTAGGTTAAAATTTTACTAGCAAACATTATAAACGTAGAAGAAAGTGGTAGGAAAAGGAAATTAAAGCAAATGATTTTACATATTATGCTCATTTAGGTGGCCATCTCAACCTGATTAAGCACAGGTTTTCTGATTTGCAGGGTAGAGCTAAAAAGCAGCCCTCCTCCCCCATGACTGAATCATACAGAGCACAACAACTTACATACTATATGGCTGAAACTCCAACCCGTTTTAGTACTATTTTCTGAATTCTCTGGACCCAGTGGGAAAGAGTAGAGTGATCTTGAGCCAAAGAGGAAAAGGAACTTGCTTTCTCACCACCATTTCACGGACGCTGTTGGAAGAAGAGATATCACAGGTGGGGGGTGGGGCAGGAGAGTCTTCCCATAGCCAAGGGTCTCCACTGCAACCTGCTCGTTTGGGGTCAGAGGAAGAGGATCTGACCCCAGGATCCACAGAGGCTGCCACCCAGCAGGTGTGGATGTGTTATGCTGCCCCAGGTGCTAGAACATCCTTCAGGCCCTGGAGTCAGTAGATGCAGTGCTAACTCTTCCTCAATACGAATGCCCAGACAGCCTTAGACTGACTATTGGGCAAAAACTGTAACCGTGCAGAAATGTGATTTCTTTAGTATGTCCTTTTCTCCTTTCTTTCTTTTTGAGTCAAACTGGCCTTATCCAGCACCCTGACTCACCTGCTTCCTTCTCCCTTGCATGTTCACTCCCTTAAGCATTAAGCCCTCAGGACAATGAGGTTCTGATGAGCAATGAATAATCCTAGAAACAACGCCTTGGGCCTGTTGACCACAGAGACAGAGTTCTGGTCAAAGCAGAGATGGCCTCTAGGCCTCACTTGTGTTTCAGCTCCAGGACCTCAAAAGCAGCAAAACCAGACAAAGTGATACATCAGGACCAGACCCTAGCACCGACCAATCAGTAGAGACCACAACCCTGACCATGAACCTATCTTTTGTAGTCACCATAATTGATGATTTCCCCCCTATATAACCCATTACTTGGAACCAATCAGGGATCCAGGTTTTGAGCTCACCTATGCCTCTAGGCTTGGGCCACTTCCTAAAACCCTCACTTTTTGTGCTGCAAATTCCTGTTTCCATGGTATTAGGCTTTGATGTGCACAGACACACAGACCCCTCCAGCAGGCAGCTTAAAGCCAGTTACATTCTTCTACTTCAAACTTAGCAGGACAACCAACTCAAATGGGTATGTTATAACACAGTTGTATGTATTTTGTATGTAAGTCCTATAGGTCTCAACTACTTTAGGAGAGAGTCTTGTAACAAAATATAAAAGTTACTAAGACAGTGACTGCAGGTTAAGTCTTGACTTTACACTAATGGCAGGGATCTGTATATATGTCAGAACAACACCATTGTCCAAATAGATTTTCTCAGGATGGCTTCATAATTTTCAGTTCTTTGTTGGACAAACAATCCATAGTGTACCTAAGATCGTGCTACATCTTTGTCAACTCAGCCTAACTTACAAATGCATCTTCCTATGCAACATCATTGTAGTCTTGGAAATAAGCACAGTCTCTGTATATCATCTCATAAATCCTTGTTGTTTAATAAAATTTTATTTGGATTTTAATGTTTCCTGCTGCTTATTAAACTAAGAAAAGTGATTATTTGAGTTTTATTTTTCTGTAATGCATTTGCATTCATTGAGTTTGTATGATTCTTCATAGGTATTCTCCATAATTATTTTCATTGGTATCAAAGGCATTTTTAAGTACTTAAATATACACATGATATCATAAAAACTGCTGTTTTAAGTATACTAAGCAGATGTAGGGAGCGGCTCTAGGGTCAAACCTGGGGCTGACCTGTGGCAGAGCCACAAACAAGTCCCAGCCTGGAGGGCAGAGCTCTCCTAGCAGTTCTATTTTGTAAAAGTATTCTTGACAGGAAGCCTAAAGCTCCTTTTCCTGACCTTGTAGCCCTCCCAGATTCCTTCCTAAGTAGCTAATGGGCTGTGGGAGGTGCAGCAAGGGTTGCCAAAACAAGAACATTTGTATACATGTTAATCTTGTTTTAATCAGACTATAAAATAAAGCATCGGCTTGCAGGCTGGGTCTTTTGTGTCCTCATCCAGGCATGGGAGATCCATTGATTCCCAGCTGTATTCTCTTGTCTGTCTTTTCTTCAATCCTTCACCTCCCCTCCTCAGGTTCACCCTTGGCCATGCTGGCGCCGCACAAGCAGACACAGATCTTTTCTCAAAGATCATAACTCTGAGACAGACAGTAATGTAAATCAAAGCTAGTCTAGGTAACATGTTAGGAAACATAAGTATGAAAGTGTTTATGTAAAGCAATGACAGTAGTAGACGTGTTCAGGTGTTGAACAAATACAGTGTCATGAGATGTTCATATCGTAACATCATTGTATTGTAAGCCTGTGAGTTTTCTTTGAGATCAAGGCCTTCTCCTCATGTTCCCCATTAGGGAACTGAGCTGAAGGGCCACTCAGCGAACTCGTGACAGTGTTGCCTCTGGCATACAGCTCTCTTAAGCCCTGCATTTCTCTCCACTTGACGACTACATCAAGGGAATTTCTATCATTTCCGTTGGAGAGAGCTTTCTGGAGAAGAAATTTTGTTCTCTCTCCAAATCATTCACACTACAGGTGTTGAGTCACCCAATTGTGAAAAAGATAGCATATTTTTAAAAATCTTTGGAGTTTTGTGGTTGCGAAGAAAGTGGTGACTGACTGACTACCTATAAGTCACAAGCTTCAGACTGAGTTTTCTCTCGGTATTAATTCCAGCTTTAATTACATCTCTTTCGTACTAATGTGTGCCCCTATCTAACTTTATGCTTTCCAATTTTCTTAGAGTTCTGCAAAATCTTGAAATGTATATTCTGTCATCCCAGGGGCCTGGGTGGACAACCCTTCCCTAAGGGCTTTGAAAATCTCTAAATTCAAAACCAACATCATGATTAACTGTGGTCAGGCCGGCCCTACTACTCACAGAATCCCAATAGAAGCTCTCCTATTTGGATGATGGGGAGGGAAAACATGTTGGGGGTGGCGGGGTGGAGAGAGCTTTCTGTTTATTTTCCAGCCCCTCTTCATAGCCTAGACAGTTCTGTTTTGTAAAAGTATTCTTGACAGGAAGCCTGAAGCTCCTTTTCCTTTATGATTGTGTGTCATTTGCTGTATTTTGTCTTACCATTGGTGTTTCCTTAAAAATAATGAGTAATGAGCAGTTATGTATTATTCATTCCAAGTGTACAGATCGCACATTTATCTTGGGCTCCTTTTTTTTTCCTAGAGCCTGCACTCGACAGCGCATGCTGAGTGGCTCATTTGAGGGGCAGCCGGCAAAGGAAAGGTCAATTCTCAGTGTGCAGCATCACATCCGCCAGGAGCGCAGGTAAATACAGCAGGAGACGAGGCTGCAGAGAAACCAAGGAAAGGAGTGTTACAGGAAGTGTTTGCTGCACACAGCCTGGTTAGCAGATAGCATGGATTCTACTCCTTGATGGCAACAATAACGAAATATTCACGATCAGATCCAAAGATTCAAAAGTTCTTTCAAAAATCTTTACCTTGGCGATGTCCAAAGGAAAATTCTGAATTTCAGTTAGATGTTATCAAAGACAGTTGGATAGACAAAAGCTTTTGCTATAAAAAGAAATATACTTGTTTTATTTAAGAAAAGTTGTTTTATTTATTTATTTTTTTAAATAATGATCGTTGCTTAAGTCCAAAGTTGGTCTTGAGATATGTTGACCTGTTGGTTGTGGTTGTTTTAGATCACTAAGACACGGATCAAACAGCCAGAGGATCAGCAGGGGGAAATCTCTTGAAACTCTGACTCAAGATGTAAGTTCTAAGCAAAGCTTTGGATTTTGAAACATGATTATTAAGATGTATTTAAATGACAGCTCAGATGATTCCAGTGCCTGGGTCTTTCTGTCACATTGTCACGTCTCCATAAGATTTTCTACCAGAGAAAATCAGGAGACTCAGGAAACAAATTAAATGGCCAGGGACAGAAAAGAGATGATTAACCATAGAAAATTCCAGACATCCGACAAACTATATGCCGTTGTTAAGACAGCAACACAAAAAATGACATACCAGTTACATTTCACTGAAATTAAAGACATTCAAAGCACATTATAGGAATGATTCACATTACTAACTTTGAGTATTTACTAATTTCCAAATCTCTAGACCAGTGATGGCGAACCTTTTGAGCTTGGCGTGTCAGCATTTTGAAAAACCCTAACTTAACTCTGGTGCCGTGTCACATATAGAAATTTTTTGATATTTGCAACCATAGTAAAACAAAGACTTATATTTTTGATATTTATTTTATATACTTAAATGCCATTTAACAAAGAAAAATCAACCAAAAAAATGAGTTCGCGTGTCACCTCTGACACGTGTGTCATAGGTTCGCCATCACTGCTCTAGACTCTAGGTCCTAAGCCCATCATTTCAGAGCTTTACATACTGGGAAATAAAATTTGATTTCTAAAAGAATTTTATGTCAAAGATTGCATAACATTTCCCAATAATTTATTTGGTTTTAGACCCTACACCATTCATTTATTTATTCACTGACCCAATTATATATCAAGTGTTCATTATATGAATGCAGATTCTGTTCTCAGTGATGAGGACTAGAAGGGAAGCAAGACATCATCTCTACCTTGCAGGCACTTATAGTCTAGTGAAATAATGAAAGCAAGTAAACAAATATATAATAATTCCTGGGTAATTGTTATTCCTTTTTTATTAGACAGATTGACTTTGCATAAAGAAAAATAAGATAGTGTGTAGGAATGAGATTTGGGGGCAGGTAATGTTAGAGGATGGTCAGTGTACACTCCTCCACATGGGCCCAGAGCCCCAGATGAGACACCTGATATAGCCATTACCAAGGTACATGGTTCTGATTAGCACAAACATCTGTTACTGCCATGATTTTTTAAGCCAGAATGTTGTCTGATATGATCCAGTGTATTGTTAACATGGAAGTCTGATTGGATCCAACACAAGACCTGTATACTGAAATTTATGATCTACCATAGTGCATGGAGAAAATTTCTAGGTGAAAATTCAGAGAAGCAACACTAGTTCCGAAGACTTTCCTTTCATGGATTTCAATAGAAATGCACAGTAAACTCCAAAACCAAATTAGGACATGGCTTTGAAAATACATGTTTAAAATATACAACAAAAGGCTCTCTTTGAATGATCTCAATTGCAGAAGTTCATTTCTTCTTCAAAGATGCTTTGTTATATTTTCTACATAGATATAAAACAAAAACCCACCCCCTGTCTGCTCCATAGCAAAAGATCATGGGAATTCTGCTTATTATAAGAAATCTTTCCTCTACAATAGAAGCAATTTAAATAGAGAGTTTCATCTTTTTCACTTGTTATAATAATAGAAGAGAAAAACAATTCGATGTAGGCACTACGATCTATAAAATGTTATCAAGTTATTTGAGCAATGGCTCTACATCTCCCACAGAGTGAAAATCAGAGTCAATGTGCTTCATGATCTGCTCCCCACACACACACCCCTCTGGCCTCATCTCCAACTCTGTTGCTTGCTTTCCACCCACACTGGCATCCTGGCTTTTCCGTGTGCAAACCCACTCACTCCCCAGGAAAAACTAATTTCTGCAAAAATCCAGTGGCCTGCATCCTTCTAGTCTTTGCTCAAATAACAACTTCTTATTGAGGCCTGCTCTGACCTGTTTATTTAAACTTGTAGGCTTCTAGCATGCTTTATTCCCCTTTGTTTTTTCCCAAAATGCTAAATCTTTTCTAACATTCTTACTTGTTTTGATCTAATTTTGGTTTGTCTCCCTGATTATTAGAACATTAGCCCCACAAGACTAGGGTTTCATTTGTCATATTTAGATTTTGTTTGTTTGTTTGTTTTTGCCATTTTGCCATATTCCCAGCACTGGAACAGTACCTGGCACATAATTGGTTCTCAATAAAAGTTTTTATTGAAAAAAAAATCATTTGGCCCTAACCAGTTTGGAGCATCGACCTGCGGACTGAGTGGTCCCAGGTTCGATTCCGGTCAAGGGCATGTACCTTGGTTGCGGGCACATCCCCAGTTGGGGGTGTGCAAGAGGCAGCTAACCGATGTTTCTCTCTCATCGATGTTTCTAACTCTCTATCCCTCTCCCTTTCTCTCTGTAAAAAAGTCAATAAAATATATATTAAAAAAATCATTTGGAGTAAAAAACACCCTTGCTAAGATGACCATGGCCATTAAAGTATATATAAAATAAAGATATGTATAAAATGATCATTTTGGGGTGGTTGTTCAAAAATATCATCCATTTTGATATGCCCCATTTTAATTTGTTTCTAGCATTCCAATACAGTGAGATACAGAAATGCACAAAGAGAAGACAGTGAAATAAAGATGATCCAAGAAAAAAAGGAGCAAGCAGAAATGAAAAGGTACAGGGTGCTACACTGTTTCTTGGCTCTCACTTTGGAACAGCAAACGTTCCCTTAACCTTACTCTCCCATAAATGTCCCCTTCAAGGAAAGTGCAAGAAGAGGAGCTGCGAGAGAACCACCCGTACTTCGATAAGCCACTGTTCATAGTGGGACGGGAGCACAGGTTCAGAAACTTCTGCCGGGTGGTGGTCCGGGCACGCTTTAATGCGTAAGTACACTCAGTTTCAGCCAGGTGTTTGGCCTGAATCGTACAAACAGCAGGTGGGGTTGTCATACCAGGGAGAAGGAACGTGTAATCCTAATGGGGTCACAAAATAAACTGTGGGCTAATTAATCATGCTGCTCCTATTTGCTGAGCGGCCAACCGGGTGGAAAACAAACAAAGGTTGCAAGTAGTTTAAATTTATATAAAACTCACGTTTAGAAAGCACTTAGCCGTTTTTATCTGTTCATTTTAACTGCTGCCCAGTACATTTGTATCGGTGTTATTAACTCCACATTCATTTTGAACACGGAAGCCAAGGGAGACTGAGCGACAAGGCGAAGGCATTGCGTCCATCTTCTTTCCCACTTGTAATTTATTTATGATAAAAATACCCCAATCAGTTTCTTCTAGAATAATGTAAAGTAAAAAGAAAGTTGACTAGTGTTTCCATTATCAACTGTTCCAAGAAGAAAACCCACTGGCCAGTGTCTCCATTCCTAACCCCATGGAACAAACGGGCAAGAGGCTGTCAGTGTGGTCAACCTGGAGGCCGCTGCATTTGTGATGACTCAAGCCGTTGTTAGCAGGCAGCCAGTGGGTGACATGGAATTTTTGTCATGCATAACTTTAAGTAATATCCTGAAGACATTAAAAGTCGTGGAGGAAGTACGAATACTTTCCCATCTATAGCTGGAATTTCTCTGATGCTATCATTTAAGTAAATTGACCTCCTGTGTTGATAATCAGTAGCATATGATACTCACTATCTGTTGTGAGCTGAATTGTGTCCACCCCCCAAAAAATATTCATGTGTTGAAGTGCTAACCCCCAGTACCCTCAGAATGCAACCAAGATAGGGACTTTTTAAAGAAGTAATTAAATTAAAATGAGGTCATTAGAGTGGGCTCTAACCCAAAATGACTAGTATCCTTCCATGAGGAGGACATTTGGACAACACAGCCACGTAGAGAGGGGAGACTACATGAAGACACAAAGAGAAGATGGCCATCCACAAGCCAGGGAGAGGGAACTGAGACAGAGCCTTCTCTCAGCCGTTATAAGGAACCAACCCTACTGACACCTTGAACTTCTAGCCTCCAGAGCTGAGAAAATGAGCTTCTGTTGGTTACGCCACTCCGTCTGTGGTACTTTGTTATAGCAGCCATCTGAAACTAATACACTGTCATAACATTCAGGACTGGAGGAGACCTCAGCAATCATTTGGTGGTGTTTGTGTATCTTCTCCTCCAACAGGGGAAGACTCTTAGGTCAGCAGAGATTAAGAGCTTTGCCAAGGACACCAGCTAGTGCATGGCCCTCTCTGACAGCCAACCCATTGTTCTTTCTGCTTTTCTAGAAAGATCTTCACAGCTTCAAATAACTGAGTAATAATCATTAAAAACTCCCCTGAGTTTTCACAAAGTAAAGGAAAAAGTTGGCAATTTAAAATTGATTTGATGAGTTCCAAAGTGGGTTTTTAATCTGGAATTATCCTGTTGGCTGCCTTCATGTTAACACCTAATTATTAATTCTCCACTCCATATAGTGCGATGTAATTCTCCTTGTCAGCAACGCAGCTAATATGGACCAAAGATGACTTTGTTATAATTGGGAGTACACATACAAACACTATTAGGGGCTTCACTGAAGATTGGTTCCCCAAAAAAGTAAAAGTTAAAGATTCCCTTACTGAGCAATTCTATATACATTACTCCACAAGATCACAGTTAAATAAGGGTGAAGGACTCTGTTGAATTTAGAGATATTTAATTAAATAATTTTGAGGAACATCTTCAAACTGCTAAGGCAAAGATTTTAACTGCATGTTTTTAAAGAAAAGCCAAAATTTAATTCTGTAAAATCCACATCAGAAATTGTTGAATGGAATCATCAACTCTAAAATTAAATATTTTGATAAATATAAAATGTTACTTTCATATGTATTAACTGCAAGCTCTTCTGATTTTTTTCATCTAATGTTCTCTGTCTCCCAAAGTCACATACAGTTAACATCTATAATAATAAAAGTGAAATATGCAAATCGACAGAACAGCCGATCAGCAGAATGACTGGATGACCTTCCAGACAAAGCCAGGGTGGCTGCAAGGGCTGAGGCAGCCGGGGTTGCGAGGGCCTACCCTTGCATGAATTTCATGCATCGGGCCTCTAGTATATTAAATGGACATTTTATAAAGGGTAAAAAGAGATTTAGGTAGATGTGACGTTTCTAAATTCTATGCTGCCAAGTTATAACACCATTGCTATATTGCAGAAGTTTATACGATTATTCTCTCTTACAGATCTAAAACAGATCCTGTCACAGGAGCTGTGAAAAATACAAAGTACCATCAACTTTAGTAAGCTTTCCAACTTCTGTTTTCCATGCACATTTGAAGTTTCTGTGTACTATTTTATGATGCATAAAAATATTAAAAATGCCCTCTATTTTTCTGCTATGTTGTGCCATGAAATAGACAATTGATGATTCATAAAAATGTACCAGTCACATTATTAGAATCACAACAGTGACTTCTCTGGCTTTTAGCCGCCTTTACTGGATCGTGTGTGTTCCTCAGTTCTGTTTGGTCTTTGGCAGTGACTTGTTGGGATTGGTGACTTACCTGGACTGGGTCATGATCATTGTAACCATCTGCTCCTGCATTTCCATGATGTTCGAATCTCCCTTCCGAAGAGTCATGCATGCACCTACTTTGCAGGTACCTCTGCTGAATCTTAACCCACAGCTCCGAGGAAAGACACTGACCTGCATCTTTTCCATTCACTGTGATCAAACTGCCTTTTGCTCATTTCAGATTGCTGAGTATGTATTTGTGATATTCATGAGCATTGAGCTTAATCTGAAGATTATGGCAGATGGCTTATTTTTCACTCCAACTGCTGTCATCAGAGACTTTGGTGGAGTAATGGACATATTTATATATCTTGTAAGTCTTTGATTATTTCCTAAATATAAAATATAATGGATTTGTAAAAGCTCCTGCTTTTCTTGGTACAAGAGTGAGATATGTGAGTCACCAAAGTTTAGATGCCAAAACTGAGTTCTTAAGTAAAGTACTAGTAAGTCCATTATAGCTGAATAAGAGGCATGCATATAAAAATCTAAATGGAAAGCATTAAAAAGATTCATGGAGATGGTTGGAAATACATCATCCACTTTTATGTATGCATAAGACATGCATTAATGAGGTCTATGATAGCAAAACTAGTTTGCCCCCACAATTCTAGTGGCTCCAATACTAAAAAAAAAATCTACGTCATATAATTGATTGATGAGCCGCCTTACTACTAAAAGCAAACTAAAGTGAGAGTGGTTGGACCTTTCTCCCAATTCTAAGGCACAAAATACCTGGCTAGGAAAGACCATTCAACTGTTTGGTTAAACTAATTTGAGAAACCATAGGAAACAACTCAAATTTCTTTCTTTTTTTTCTCTTTATGTTCAAGAAGGTATAAAATCAATTTCTTTTTCAGCACAGCAAGGAGAACTGTGACCCTTAAGTGCAACATGTATAGGTAGTTAATAAAATAGTATTAGGTCATGAATGAGGTTTAGTCTCTTTGATCAAAGGAATTTCAATCCTGCTGACATGAGCAGAGCCTCCAGTATGTCAGTAAGAGAAGGGCCAGAGCACACTGGTGCACACCCGTGGTGGCACCCCGTTCCATTCCTGCATATGCCTGATGACTTTGCTTTAGGGTTGCTTGGGTCTAGATTGGGTTCATAGTTTAGAGTGAAGAGACTGCATAGTCACCGGGTGAATGTGTGTCCCATATAACACATGGAGTCTCTCCTAAGGGATAGTTGTAGTCAGTTGGCTCTCAGAAAATGTACACAGTGGAGGATAAATTGTATAAATTTCAGAGATGATTTTTTTCCTTCTAGGTGAGCTTGATATTTCTCTGTTGGATGCCTCAAAATGTGCCTGCTGAATCAGGAGCTCAACTCCTCATGGTGCTTCGGTGCCTAAGGCCGCTGCGGATATTCAAACTGGTGCCACAGATGAGGAAAGTGGTTCGAGAGCTTTTCAGTGGCTTCAAGGAAATTTTTTTGGTACGTTCCAATTACCTTCACTCCCAGTGCAGAGTCCACCTCTGTAATGTAGCTAATGAGGGGGTAAAGTAAGTCTTGCTTGTCAAGGTGAAGTCTGCAATTTTAGTTTTTGGTCAGAGGATTATAGAAGCACTAACAATGCACAATACACCTTCAGAAACTTTACCCCCAATGCTTCTGCCTTATTAGTATATTTCATTCAACAAGCATTTTTTTCCTAAGCTAAAGAGAAGCTCTCTGTAAATGACAATGAAAGGAGAATCGAAAGACAGTATTTGCTGACACTTCCATTCCTAACTGTTGGCCCTAATTTCTACTCTGGGTTTTAGTTTCCCCATCTGGAAATTAAGGTTAAAAAGATTCAACACCATCTACTTCACAAAATGATATTAGGAATTAACACATTTGGGTTCATAATCTCATTTAATATGTCACTTAAAGCATATAGCAATAGAATTTATCTCTGATCTCTAGAATGTTAACATAAAACAACACACAAAAAAAGAAACATACAAATATACCCTACTCTAAGTAACCTAAATGTATAGTAATGAATACTTCCAAATGTGATTGAGGGGAAAAACATTCTTTTTACTGAGTGAACATTGATTTAGGGTCCTTTTAAGAGCAGGGCTGCAGATAAAATGATGAGTAAGAGGCTCATTGCTCACAATCTGTTACAGAAGGAGTGATCAGAGGATTCTTGTTGTTACTGATGAGTTCTGCTTGTGCATGGAAACATGTGAATGAATTCCCATAAGCCTATTTCATATCTTGCTTTCTAGAAACACACCTATGGTAAGAGAGCAGCTGTAGCTGCATTTGATCCTAAGCTATGTTACAGACAGGTCGGACTGTTACTATAGGCATGGAGCTGCTAACACTTTTTAAATATGTGTTCAAAATTCCATATTTTCTTTGTCACAAAGCCATAAAATGTTGGCTTTCACACCGCTAGAACTGAAGAAAAACAGAATATCACCTGATGGCTAATGTGGCATATCTTTGACCCTTAATAGATTGTAGGAGAGAATCTATATGTGCCTTTCTTCTGGTGATGTTTCTGCGCAATTTAAGTATACTTAAGGTATATTTTAGGTCAGTCAACAAGTACAGATCAATAGTGTGCTCAGTATTTTACCCTTTGCCACTTTTCTCTGCGGAGACCAAAGTAGCCATCCAGCAGAGGGAGCCTGAGCCAGTTAACAGATTTGTATGTTTGTTTTAGACTGAATTACTTGAATCCTGTGAGCAGCACATTCACATGCCCTCATGCTCACAAGAAAGCAAAGCCACAGCCCCTCTAATTTGTGTTCTGCTAATAGAGATATGAATCCATTTTGAGAAAATGGGGAAAATATAATTGTTTAAACATGTTTCTTTTGTTCCATTCAATAAAATAGATCAAAGTGTTGACTTTAAAATCAGAAAAGTCTAAGTCATATCAACAATACCTTAGCCCATATTCTTACATGAAAGTTGTATGTTTTTATTCTGAAAATTCAAAACCTCTGGTTAATTTTCTTCTTTTAACATTCCAGTAAGGCTAATTGAATGACCTGTGATGGAGAAGTTAAAAAATATCATCAAAAGATCATGAATTTATACAATGTTATCAGAAAAGTCCTGTTCATATTGCTGTTCAAACCAAATGTACTGTTTAAAGTTTTACTGAGAGATTTGATATCTCACCAATTTCTTTCAGGTCTCCATTCTTTTGTTGACATTAATGCTTGTTTTCGCAAGCTTTGGAGTTCAGCTTTTTGCTGGAAAACTGGCAAAGTGCAATGACCCCAACATTATTAGAAGGGTAAGATACTCCTTTCTATCTTTTGGAATAAAAATTAAGGTAGTTTACCATCCCTTGGTAAGCATGTGCTGAGGTGACTTTGACAGCCCCCTGACAAAACTCTTAAGAATTCTCTTCCCATGAACTCCTTTGGCTTAAAGCATGTAGTATGTCTTTTCCGGCTAACAAAGCTTTGTAAGATTAAAAGCACATTTCAGGGAATTCTACTCTTCCCTCCTATTCCAGTGTCAATCTACTGTTGTCATCTTCTGCATAGTCACCCAAGATTCCAGATGTTGAATCTCAGAAACTTTTCCTTTGAGTCTTCCTGAACTTAATCCTGCTTCTGTTGTCACATGACACTCATATCAACAAATAGCCTCCCCACCCAAAAGCATGAAAGGCAAAGTCTGACTTTCACGTCCCCTGTATAACACTTCTCCACTCCAGCATTCTCCCCATTAGGAAGTCAAGGCCTTACATCAGCTCTTATTTGCCCAGAATTAAGACAACTAACAAAGACCAGAGCTTGAATACTTTGCTAATGCTTGTTCCTTCAGTCAATGTCAGTAAGAGAAAGCTAAATGCTGGAACAACCCCGATATTTCAGTAGCTGAACGTAATGAAATGAATATATTGCATCTTGGGTAAATTGGACAGCTCTCCTCCAAATGACCTTTCCGGCATTCAAGTTCCTTCTGTTTTGTGTCCCCACCCTTTGCTGTTTTCAAGTCTTCTTCATTTAGCTGGCTCGTATGAACAAAGAACCATCTCTGCCTGAGAAGGCTGAGCTCAGAAGCAGCACACCTCACTTCAACCCATGTTCCACTGGGAAGAGCACAGCCTCACCAGACTGGAAGGAGGCCTGCGATATGTAGCTTAGTGGTGTCTTCTGTGGGGAAAAAGGGACAGAGTTTGGTTAATAATTGCCAGTTTCTGCTACACCACCCAGTGCCTCAATCTTTTAAGGAGTCTTCCCAAAATTATGAGTAGACTAATGAAGTGAACCAAGTACTGCTAATGTATAAACTAGCAAAAGTATGTACTCATTCATACAAGTAAAATAATGCCCGTGTCCATTAAAATGCATGTTTCCGAAGGATTAATAGAGTTGAATTACAATAGGTATTTCCAGAAACTATGATTATCTAATATAGAGTTTATATCAGTTTGAAAAGTCCTCTAATTATGAAAATTATTAGCTGTCTAATTGGAATAAAATACAGATAACATCTTTGTGCGGTCAATATTCATTATGGAGTATATTCATAATGAGGATTTCAGGAAGCGGCAGGACAGAAGAGACATACTTAAGCTGGGCAGACCTTATGTTGTTGCACAAGGCACACCTAAGTCACTGCTTCCTTTAGCTGCCCTCCACAGAGGATAAACCTGAGAAGAAATAACAAGGAACCTGCTATAAAGGTCATGATATACCAAATTAGCTAATGAAGGAAATCATACGGAACTGATTCATTAGTCCATAAGCTTGCATAAGGAAAGTAGGATTATTTTAAATCCACACTGAATAGAGGCCAAGAAGAGAATAACAGCATTTCAGGATGAAGCCTACTGGGAACCTTGATGACTCAGTATATTAATAATAGCCTAAGTGCAGTGTGATTTTATGTTATCTACTCTTCCCCAGTCCAAGCTGAAGATTGATGCTTACTTGGATAGGAGACAGAGAGCTCACAATGGATGGACAAACACTCAGATATCATGGTGCATTTATCCTCTTTCTCAGAGCAATGAGGCCTCAGCAGTAGGCTCATAAGAAAGCCTAAGAAAACTTAGCCATCATAGAGAGCAGAATGATAGAAAGGAAATTGGTGTGGTGAGATGTGGTCTGTGTCCTTACATTGGGACAGGTTTTTTCCTAGTCCTGACATAGGAGGCCAAGGCCAAGGAGACCAGGTGGATGAAAGGAACTGCAGGTGTACCTCGGAACTTCAGTCTATCTTTCTAAAAGAAGGGAAAGGGGAAACTAGATACCCCAATATTTGGATCACATAGCTAATGTTTAAAGATAACATAGCTTTGAGCTGTTAGTGCTGTGTTTTCCAGTTGAGAGAATGGGTTAGTTTCTTGATGTCTGTCTGAGCACTTCCTCCCTCAGTACCTTTTTCTTAAAACTTGAAATATTGACACCACTTTAGGTAGAGATATGGAGCCCAGAACTTAGTCACCAAAGCCCTGTAATCAAATTCTGAGAATACCTTTTGACGGTTAAGTTATTAAATATCAGTTATGTACAAAGCACCATGATTGGTGAAATGAGGGCTGGAAAAATGTGTAAGTCACTGCCCCTGCTTTGCAGCATTTTTTGCCCAATGAGAATGTGTGTTTCATGTGTAATCCACGTAACATAAAGTCATAATTTAAAAGAGCACATGAGAAGTGAAAGTAATGTAAGTAGTACTTCCACCTGGGGCCGCTGTGCTGAGAAGGCTTTAAGGAGGAGAGAGCATTCTAGCAGGAAAGAGCCTTCCAAACAGAGGAGGCAAAATGAAGAAAGCAGGTATGGTGACTTGTTCTAATCATTTAATCCCTCTGAACCTATTTGCTCCTATATAGCACTTCTCACACAGTGATATTATAAAGATTAAATTAGTTAATTTATGTAAAGAACCTAACCCACCCATTCACTTCCCTCCCATGCCAAAATGAACTGAAAAACAGGCCAGAAATGTACTTTAGGAAGATATCCTCAGAGACCTAGAATGCCGGTCTAAGGGGGTCAGAATTTCCTTGATGAGAAATGAGAAGTCATCAAAGGTTTATAGGCAGAGGAATCAGACAACGGTTGGTGCTTGCAAAGTGCAAGGGGAGCAGGGAGCAGGGAGTAGGACATCCCCTGAGGGCTCCCAGTACATGATAGGGGACAAGCTGGGCTGAGGGACCCCCCCCCTCCAGTGCACAAATTTTTGTGCACCGGGCCTCTAGTTAGAAATAATGCTATCTCTATATATAAAAGCCTAAGCAACCAGTCGACCAGCCAGTAACTGTAACACACAATGACCACCAGGGGGCAGATGCTCAACACACAGGCATGGAGACATGGAACAAACTGATGAATCTTAGAGGGAAGGGGGTAGGGGGGAGGGCAGGGAAAGATTAACCAAAGATCTTATATGCATACTAGAGGCCTGGTGCAGATTCGTGCACCGGTGGGGTCCCTCAGCCCGACCTGTGGGGATTGGGCCAAAACCGTCTCTCCAACATCCCCTGAGGGGTCCTGGATTGCGAGAGGGCACAGGCCAGGCCAAGGGACCCCACTGGTGCATGAATCCATGCACTGGACCTCTAGTTTATAATAATAGTGATATAAGCATTCATGTATAAATTTCGGTGTGTATGTTTGTTGTTGTTGTTGTTTTTTCATTTCTCTTAAATACATAGATACCTAGAAGTAGAATTTCTAGGTTTTAGGTAACCCTTTGTTTGGTCATTTGAGAAACTGCCACACTATTTTCTAAAGTGGCTGCACCATTTTGCATCCCCACCAGCAGTATAGGAAGGTTCTAGTATGAGGATTTCAATTCTGCAAATCTTTGTCAAAGCTTGTTGTTAATTGTTTTAATGATAGCCTTCTGAGCAGGTCTTAGTGATATCTCACTGTGGTTTTGATTTTCATTTACTTGATGGCTAATGATGCTGATCATTCTTTCCATGTGCTTACTGCCATTTATACATCTTCCTTGGAGGAATGTTAAATCATATCTTTTGTCCGTTTACTAATGTTTTCAGCATCAACTTTCACCACTCATCCCTGTAGTCTTTGTTACTATTTGTGATTAGCTGTCCATATCACTTTTGTCAAATAAAGATCTTTGTGACTCTATGTAAAATGTATTTCTTATTTTTTATCTTTTCTGAATTCCTCTTCTGACCAAGTTTCCTCCTTCATCTCTCTCTCTCTTTTTTCTATTTTAGGAAGATTGCAATGGCATATTCAGAATTAATGTAAGTGTGTCCAAGAACTTAAATTTAAAATTAAGACCTGGAGAGAAAAAACCTGGATTTTGGGTGCCCCGTGTTTGGTAAGATATTAGGAAAAAAAAAATCCTTAAGAAAGCTATATTTGTCAACATAAGATTTTAAATCAGTACAATATGGTATGAAACTAAGAGTAACTCAGATAGAGATATGAAAGTGCTTCCAAGGAAAAGCACTGAATTACAACAGGATATAAAATTACCGTAAATATGAGAGCAAGTTGTACCCTGAGTCCCACGTTGCTTCATGAAACTAGTAAAATATCACTACAGTATTTTTCCAATATTTTAAAAGTTTGTATCTGGATTCACATGGCTTCCAAATTTTTGAGATTAATTTTTTTCAATCAAATTTTTAGTCAAATTTTAATTTTTAAAATTAATTTAAATTTTTTTAAAATTTTAATCAAATTAAAACTAAACTCACCTGAATGTATATCTTTAAGGGCAGATCTGATGTCCTCATAGTGGTTGTAAAGAAGCCTACTTAATCATAAAGCTATTTCAGTTTCAAAGCCCATTGATAGTGAAGGATTTTCATCATTGAAACACTAGATAGGAATAATCAGTAACACAATTGATTATATCTAACTCTTTAAAATTTGTCTTTCTTGAAAATGAGTTTTCAAAGCATTTATATTAAAGATGGAAGAACCTAGTACCCTCTTTCTCATCCATTTTACTGAAGACCATGAATAAAATATCTCAGTCTGCTTCATGGATGAACTAAGTGTTCTATCAACTGCATTTGTCCTTTAAATTGTTACCTGTGTGTTTTTTTCTTTCATTTTACCTTTTAGAATAATGAGTGAAGAATAGCAACTACTTTGCTTTTGTCACAATCGACTAAATGTCAAACTCTTTAAAAGGAATAGCATTTCACCCATTTGTACCCCTAGGACTTATAGTTACAGCTTTGGCATTTCTCTAAAATGAAATTCACTTTTATAAGCAATGCAATGTATATTGGGTTGTTTTTTTAATACCAAAGATTTATTTAAAAATAAATTAATTTTGGATTTGTGGCTATATATCCATAGGACTATCCTTATCCCAGTGCTAACTAGAAAGTCAGTCTCATTTACATTAAAATAAAAAATTAAGGAAGCATAAAACATTTATTTTTTGTGAGGTGAAAACTCATTATTATACCATAAATAATTTATTTAAATAAGTACATCAAATGGGATTTTTTTTCGTACTGTTTTGGAATTTTGGCTAAAGCCTTGAAGCTGAGGTTAATAGGAGATAAATTATTATTATATTCTAAAGAGAGCCACTAGGCAATCCCAGCAGAATTTACTACAATTTATCCACCTCCATCACCCAGGTCATGCAAAACAAAACACTGCACTCATAGATGACCTCATGAAGTGGATGAACTCAGTGGAGTGTTATGGCATCTCTCCTCCCTTTATTGTGGAATAAGGTGCTTCCCACCTCAGCCAAGTCAAGTACCCAGGAGGGCTAGCTGATATCACAGATTGGCAAGGCTTTGTGGTCAAGTAGCTCTTCACTATCTGGCAGGTCAGGGTTATATGATGTTCCCAGAGGTCTGAGTCATCACTACTTAGGCTGCCTAATCTGAACTGTCCTGATGGATCCCTACTGCAAAGGGCTAACTGCTGGGGAGCAGGTCCCCTATTGGAAGAGGCTGTTCATGTGTTTCTAGGAGTGGGAGCTGAAAATCAGATTACCTTCGCAGCAAGAATGGTGCAATGGGGCTTCCTCATTTGGGAGTGTTTAAAAGTATAGTGTTCTAATAGAAAACTTGAGACATAGTAAGGACAACAGATCAAGAGACAATCAATTACCATTGAAAAGATAGCTAGTTGCTCATAGCTCCCAAGAGGAAGGGCCAAGCCATACCACGGAGCCATACAGGGAAGCACTAGGGTTGGTCACAAGGCAGAAGGAAAGACGCTGTGGGAAAGAGCCTTTTTTCTGGTTTCCCTGGGAAAGAAGGTGAGGCAGGGCAGTCAGGCTTAGGATTGGCTAGTTTGATCATTTCAATGGGCTCTGGGGCATAGGGACTGCCCTCATGATCTGGTACCTGGGCCCTGGTGTGATTAGGGCTGGTCTATAGTGGTCCGGAGTGTGAAAGCCTAATAACAGAGGAGGTTGAGGTATGGACTCTTGACTGACTAGTTTGTATTTGAAAAGCACACCCTAGAAAGCACTCCTCCCAAGGTTGGGCAGAGGGTGATGCGGGAGGCAGGATGACTCGGCGTTTTATCAGGTTGTCCAAAACAAAGTGTGTCCTGCATTTGTATGTAGGGCAGATGGTCAAGTTTACAGGAGCTAGAAGCATGGTTAATATACAGAGTTCCTGAGGAACACACAAATGCACTCCATAAAGAATAACAGCTGCTGTGACAAGAGCGCCAATGGCCAGAGTACAGGAGCATAAAATGCACAGCCTCTCACTCCATTTTTCTAACTCCAGTCTTATAAGAACCAGATGGCAACCTGAAGAGGAGGAGTGAATCAGAGTAGCCAACGCTCTTCTTCCCTCCTCAAACCACTGATCAGGCTGAGCTGCTGAGAATGGGATCCTTGCACAGGGTTAAGACAGGCAAGGTTGGCTGTAAAACGGAGTGGACTTTTTAGAATGAGACTGATCTAAAAATCATTGACATCTCCCCAAGATGTCAGGAAGGGAGCTAGGACGTACTATACAGCAGTATTGGGAGAAAAGTAAAGTTTTTTCCAGTTGTACCCTATGTTATTCAACTTTGTTTCATAAAATCATCTACTTATGATTTTTAAAGTCAGAGTTAATTGAAATATAATGTCTTATGTAACTTATTAGGGGTTTCAAGTTCAATGACACTTTAAAAACTTAAATGGATAAAGAGGTATCATTTAAACATCATCACAATAGCTTTAGTCCATTTGTTCAGAAAATTGTGACTTGGATTAATTTTAGGGACACGTAAATCTTCCATCAAATAAATGTTTAATTTTTATATTTTCCTTCTTAGTAAGCTCATCAAAAATTAGCAGTTGAAAATTTTGTAATTTTATATTGGCTAATTTATGATTAAGAAAATAACTTTTATCTGGGAATTGGCCTAGAGCAGTGGTCAGCAAACTCATTAGTCAACAGAGCCAAATATCAACAGTACAACGATTGAAATTTCTTTTGAGAGCCAAATTTTTTAAACTTACACTATATAGGTAGGTACATTGTTATTAACTTAATTAGGGTACTCCTAAGGCTTAAGAAGAGCCACAGTCAAGGGGCCAAAGAGCCGCATGTGGCTCGCGAGCCGCAGTTTCCGACCACGGGCCTAGAGGAATGCTTTGATAATTATAATTAGGACATCAATATGCACTATCTAATTCAGGAGATAGTCTGGTTTTTGTATTTTCTCTTCAGATGAATACATTAATTTGCTTTGGAACCACTCAGACTTGTTGAGATAAAGATTACCTTGCTAAAAAGGATTAAACATACCATGTAACTATTGTGTGTTTTGTTTTCAGCAGAAGTCTTTGATATAGGAAAATGTAATTTATGAGAGAAAAATCAACAAAGTACTCAGTTTCATAATAAGGGCATTTATTGAGTGCTTACTATTCACCACCAGGTATTATGCTGTCACTGGGGACAAGCTATGGCCCCTGACCCCCAGGAGCTTGAAGTCTAGTGGAGAACAGAAAAGGAAATTACAAGTAATTTATTATAATATGCTAAGGGCTTTGGTACTACATAAATAATCCCCTAAGCTCACTTGAAGCTCACCTGAAAGCTTACCTCTAGGTAATTTTAAGTTACACTGTCATACAGAAGATCAAATTTTCGTAGAATCCATATGGCACAAACAATTTGGGAACATCCTTTAAGAAAAAGAGTATAAAAATACCTTATTCTTGTAAGTTTAATAAAAACATAGGACCATCCCTGGTGGTCTAGTGGTTAGGATTCGGCGCTCTCACCGCCGCGGCCCAGGTTAAAAAAAAACACAAAAACATAGGACCATGTGAACTCACTGCTGGGCCCCTTCCAGAATATTGGAAGATACCTGTCCAGGGAAAGGCCGGAGGTGTAAGTTTCTGCAGCTTGCTGGTATATTGGCCAGGATAGGATACAGTAGGCAAAGGGTGCAGTGGCACACACAGGAGAGGCACCTTACCCAACTATGACCAGACCAGGGCGAAGGACCCAGAGGAGAAGACACTGAGTTAACTTTTGAAGGACAAATAGGTATTAGGCAGCTGAAAAGAGGCAGAGTCATGGGCAGGTGAGTGGGAGGGGCTCGGCGGAGGTAAGGTGTTGCAAACTGAGGAAACCCAAATTACTATGGCCAAAGTGCAAGGCAAACAAATAAATAAATAAAGCAGTGTATTCTACAAAGTACAAAAAGGTTCTGATTTTTTAGACTAGATCGCAGAGTAGTAAGACATAGGGGGCCATTTTGGATAAGGTCATCCCCTGTATTTTCACATCTAAGGGTAGAGGCTAAGTTTCTTCCTCCGTGGTGCCCCATCTTCCCAGAGAAGGGAAACTCTCCTTATCATCATCTTGGGGACATTGGCGCACTTTTCATTGGAAGGTAAAAGACTGACCAAGTTGTGAGGTCAGAACCAATGTCTTAGTTTTCTGAATTAGATAATAAGATTATAATCTTTAAAAGTTAACCAGAAAAGATGATATTTAAACAGCCTTTCAAATCAAGGAAGAGCTACAGGTAAAATGACAGTAATGGATGAAGACTGGGATTTATTGAAGTCCTCTGTGGTTGTAGGTTTAATCTTTCCAATTTTAAATACATGAACAAAGCATATACAAATATTTTATATGATGAAAGCTGAAAAATACTTATTTTTCTTTTAAATGCGATCTATTCTTCCAACTATTTAAGTCTATGATCTTCTGTTTTCTTTTTCTTGGTTTAGCCTGAAAGTGTATTTTTAACATACTCTACTTTTAAAAGTAGTTTTGATTGCTGCAAATTCAGCTAAAAACAAAAACTTTACAGAGGAAAGCGGGTGGAGGAGGAAGAAGAAGGTAAAGGAGGGATAAATGGTGGTAGAGGACACTTGACTTGGGGGATAAACACACAATACAGTGTACAGATGATGGGTTGTAGAATTGTGTACCTGAAACCTGTATAATTTCATTAACCAATGTCAGCCCAATAAATTCAACTAATAAATAAATAAACAAACAAGTAAGTATATATCACTGTGTGGGGTGGATGGATGAGGAAGAAAGTTTAACATCAGATCTGAGAGCTGGCTCAGTTGGTTTAAAAAAATCTTTGAGAAAATGGTGGCACCTGTAGAATCCTTATAGTTTCTGTCTTCTGTAAAATATATTCCATTTCATTGAAACTCCCAAAGGAAAAGTTGTTGGAAAAATCCAAGAGAACATGCTTATAACTTCATACTAAAAAATCTAAATCAGAATCCTAGAATATGAATTTGTGAGTAGTGCTTTTGCACTATGTAGAAAACATTTTCTACCAAATAGCCTTAAACCTTTAGGAGCAAGTCAGTTTCAGTTTTACATTTTCTTACTAGATCCCCATCAAAAAGAACTTATAAGGATACATCCCATGATTGTTCTGTGGCTTTAAAAAAATGGTGGTACAAAAATGCTAAACCAGATTGCCCCCAAGTGAATTACCTTTTGTGAGGGTTACATTTTGACAAATGAACTAGCAGGGGGGAAAAATATCAAAATATAGTTCAGATAAGCTTCAGTAGGCCTACTCTCTTTAATAATCCTGAGCTCAATTCTCCATCAAATTCAAGAAACATAGTGATAGTCCTAATTTTTCAGTGTGTGGTTGTCTAAATCTTTAACTACTTAAAATAGCCTCTAGTAAGGGGGAAATAGAAAAAACTCTTCAATCTTCTATGAGCAACAAAAATGGTAGCTCAGACCTGTAATGACTAAGGGAAATGTCAGAGTGGAAAAGATCACTTTTGTAACTGTGAAGAAAAAAAATGTCAAAAAAATAAGAAATAAGACATCCTCTCCCCCTGAAAAATGAGGCCACAATGTTTTAGTAATCGGGAATGTGCTGTGGGTGTAGCAACATACTGTGCACTGAGAACACAGGAAGTATCCATTGAGAACATCAGCGTTTGTGAGAGAGAAAAAAATGCAACTGGGAGAGAGTGATCTGGAAACAACGGCTATGAGCAAACACATCATGTCTTCTCAGTGATCTCTCACTACTTCACAGTGTGATGATGTTTCACATGAGGACACAGAATGAAATAAAGTGGCCAAATTCTACTCTTTTGACATTTTCTGTACTAACAGGGGGAATTTTAATGTATGCCATTAGAAAGATTTCCAATTAAAAACCAGTTTCAAAATTCTTACCCAGACTCCAATGCCCCTTTGAGAATCTCCTATACAGTTTCTAACTAGAACGTGTATTCTAGTCCTCAGTATAATCAGGACAAGCCGGAAACATTTGCAGATCCTCTCGAGCTAGAACTCAAAGTTGTATAGCATTTTGTTGTCTTCAACTGAGAGCACCCCATCATTACCTAATAATTAATTACACAATTAATCATCTACAACACACAGCATTATGATGTAGCAAAAGAATCCCATATAGCCCACCTTCCAAGTGCTAAACATCCCTCTGCACCCAAGATTGGAAAGAGCTACAAGTATTTGCCTTGGGGTGCTTCTTAGCGGAATTTCACAGAACATTCCTCTTTCTGATTTTCAGGGCGAATCCTCGGAACTTTAATTTCGACAATGTTGGAAACGCTATGCTGGCGTTGTTTGAAGTGCTCTCCTTGAAAGGCTGGGTGGAAGTGAGGGATGTTATTATTCATCGTGTGGGGCCGGTAAGCAAGCCCATGGAATCCTTTGAACACAAGCCTTTCAGCAGCTGCTTTCACTTGCTTTGATGAATAACCATATTTTTCATTTATACAGATGCATGGAATCTATATTCATGTTTTTGTATTCCTGGGTTGCATGATTGGACTGACCCTTTTTGTTGGAGTAGTTATTGCTAATTTCAATGAAAACAAGGTAAGAATTCTTGGTGTGAGTACCACAGAGTTTATTCTTTTCCGGCCACTCGCTTTAAGCTCTCTTTTTTTGCACACACAGCATGATGTCACATTAAACTGTAATGTGACTGGTGTAAATAATCTCTGTAACTATTTCACAAGCAACCTCGTTGCTGCCTTTCAGGCACATTATTTAAGGGCACAAACTCTCTTGCTAAATGTCCTCCTTTGGTGACAGTGTCATTCATTCATGACAACTGACAGGCGCATCTCCTATTGTTCAAATGGAAAGGATGTGCAACAAGTTATTCAAGTACAATAGCTGAAGCCGATGCAGGGATTGCAGGTAATACTGCTCTCACTAATGTGAATTAGATGCTTCTTAGTAACTCAGTAAGTGAGTTACTTCTAACACCACTTGTATTTTGATGGGATGGGGAGGAGGGCATGGTACAAGTTTTAAAATCTTAGTTCATAGGATAAAAAGAAGATTTTCTAATTTAATGTTAAAATCTTTGCATGCTGCCCTAGCTGGTTTTGCTCAGTGGATAGAGCATTGGCATGAGGACTGAAGGGTACTGAGTTTGATTCCGGTCAAAGTCACATGCCCAGGTTGCAGGCTCGATCCCAGTAGGGGGTGTGCAGGAGGCAGCCAATCAATGATTCTCTCTCATCATTGATGTTTCTATCTCTCTCTCTCCCTTCCTCTCTGAAATTAATAAAAATATATTTAAAATAAAAGTTTTGCATGCTTTATGAACTTAGGAAGCTGAGTTCATAACAGCTCGAATGATCAATAAAGAGCTCACAAATGGGAAAAGAGCAAGTGGCGTTTGCTGCCAAAAAACACATGAGTTTGAGGGGACACATTCTATGTCGTTCTTCTGGACATGGTTGACATGCCCCCTGTTGTGTCAAGGTCAGTCTTCTTATGTCTTAATAATTGAGACACATACAGTTTCTACGCACTTCCTATTCACTAAGGTTTAGATATGCTATTCTCATTTCCCCAACTCGGAAATGCACAGTTGAAGAGAAGACAGCATAAGATAAGGAGTAGAAAATGGGGCCAGAATTCAGAAGTAGTGCCAATTGCTGCAAGAGTCTGTGATTCTCCCAATTCAAGTGCATGAAAATGTCGACTGTCGTTCTGCGCTGAATGAAAAGCTAGATGTCACAGCACAGCTCCGTGCTGCGCTATGTCATTCACAGCGAGGACTGATTCGAACGCACTCACATCAGAGCTCTGGTGTGTGCAGCTACGCCTGGGACCGTATCACTCACGTCCACGCTCCACGTGTGAGATGCCAGTTAGTCAGCCAATTGGCGCCTTTGATGTGTGCCGAATGAGGATGTCATTCTGTTCAGACTTTCAAAGAGTGCAACTTAAAAATCACCCCTTTGGGTCCCAACACTACTCTACCCCACAGAAACCTGGAATTTTAGAGTAAGAAAGGATAGAGAACATATCGCCCAGCCCCCCTATTTAACACATTCATAAATGAGTTTCTTTCAGCCCTACCATGTGTTCAATTTAATTCCAAGCAGAAAGAGGAAGATGGGTCTTTTTAGATGCCTTTGAGGCATGTGATGGAGCAGACACTGGGAATTCCGGAATAGGAGCAGAAGCTAATCAGTCAATTAAGACAGTTTAAGCTCTGCTTGCTCAGAACACCATCCAAGGCCCTCTGAGCAGACACCTAATTTCAGAAGAATTAGGTCCTATGGCAGCTCACAATTCAGCAGCATAAATGAAATGACATAAAATTTTGAATTAACCGGAGACAGTGTAGTTCCTCAACTCAGAGAATGTGTGAAGCAAGCAGAATAACAGGCCTACTTCCAACACCAGTTGTATTTCTATTCTGAAGGAGGAAAGGAAAGTCTCTACCTGAGAAGGGGGAGCATGGAAGCTCAAATGTGTGCTTAGAGAAAGAGGCAAAGGAGAAGAAATCATATCACCAGACATTATAAACTTGAATAGTTAATAGGAAATATACATTTCTCAATTACAGATTTCTAAATTATGTGAACATTTTAGAAAAGATTTTTTTCTGCAAGTTTTGTCCATGGTAGCAGTTCAGCTGCTATGTAACAGGACTTATTCATTTATTATTCAACCAGAGGCCCGATGCACAAAATTCGTGCAAGGGACTCGGCCCTCACAGCTGAGGTGGCTTGCCTCGGTCTTCATCCGGAAGGTCGTCCAGAAGGATGTCCAGAAGGTTGTTTGGCTGTCCGGTCTAATTAGCATATTACGCTTTTATTATTATAGATCATTCAACAGACTTCTTTGAGCACTTACTAGGTGCCCCACTCTGCTTTTGAGCCTGAGAGCATAAGAAGCTAATCCATAAACACTGATCACATAAAGATTTCTGCCCTCATGGAGCTCACATTCTAATGGTTATACCTGAAAGTATATAAATAGATTTCCAAATGTATAGGCAACAGAGAGAACTAAAGATATGGGAGCCCTGGCCAGGAGTGATGGTCCATATACCAAAAGGTGGTGGGTTTGATTCCCAGTCAGGGTATGTACCTAGGTTGTGGGTTAGGGAGGCAACTGATCAATGTTTCTCTCTCAAGTCAATACTTCTCTCTATCTCCCTTCCTCTCTCTCTAAAATCAATAAAAGCATACCCTTGGGTGATGATTTAAAAAAAACGATATGGGAAATAAGGTAAGTTTTGCGGGCAAAGTTTTAACAATTCAGAATCATGCAATATTATGTCTTCCCTAGAAAATGAAACCCTGTTTAAAAAGTTCAAAATCTGTAACAATAATATATATGTATATATTTTTTTAATTTCCCTAGTATAAGACAATAAGTTTGATTAATACACTTAATTTAATAACAATGCACTTTTAGAGGTTATTACATTAATGATTAGAGTACAGGTTTCCAAAATATCTTGCTTTGTATAACAAAGAAATAATATGAATGCGTATAGCATCCCCAAAACAAATATTTATTTGCAGTTACTGAGAAAAATGGTTTAGCAAAAGTAATATCAGAGAAATTTAATTTAAAGCAAATATTATTAGAAATAAACAGTGTAATTAAATAATTTCAAAAGAAGTTAAATCCCCAGAAAAAATAAAGAACTCCTTAAAATATATGAAAATAAAATTAATTAGCCTTGGCTGGTGTGGCTCAGTTGGTTGAGCATCATCCCATGGACCACTGGTTCAATTCTCAATCAGGGCACATGTCTGGGTTGCAGGCATGATCCCCAGTAGTGGGCATGCAGGAGGCAGCCAACTGATGTTTCTCTTCCACATGGATATTTCCCTCTTTCTCTTCCACTCCCTTCTTCTCTCTCTAAAATCAATAAAAACATTTTATAAAATTAATCAAATTATTTTAAAAAGCTATAAAATCCAAAATTATGGTGAAATATATTAACATATTTTCTAAAAATTTCATAAATCAGCAGGAAAAAAGAAAGACTATATGAAATTTGACACAATAAAATTATGTGATCTACTGACATATAAAGAACCCTGACCCCCACAATTTTCAAGAACAAAAAGTATCCTCTACAAAGTCATAAAATAATAATTGTAAAAAAAAATTGATAATGTATAAAACAGGTTCTCTACCATAATAAAAAATATAGCAAAAAAAATCCCTCAGGGTTTGGAAATATTGAGACAACATTCTAAATAATTTATTAATTAGTAATATGGCAAATATTAAAATTAATGTTACAATAAAAATAACAGTAAAATTGAAGAATGTAGGAGGAAGGAAGTAATAAAGACATAGAAAAACAACTATAGAAAGGCTCAAGAGTGACAAAGCAGATTCTTTTAAAAAATTAAATGATAAACCTTTTGCAAGGTTCAGCATCAACAAAAATGTGGAAAATGAAAGTAAACAAGCTTATAGTTAGGAAAGCTATGCCAGTATTGTTACAGGGATAGAAAGTTAGACTTACAGGACAGAATAGAAAGCCCAGGAGATACCCATGTATATATGAAACAGAATTAGCACAACAAATCAGAGGAGATGAGAGCATCAATAAGTGAAACTGGAATAATTGTCTAGAATAAAATAAACTCTACCTCATAGCCTACTCAAAAATGAGCTCTAGGTGAATGAATGACCTAACTATGAATATAAACCATTTTTAAACCATGTAGAATTTATTTTTGACCTGGATTTCTTGACATTAACCACAAAGTGGAATTCATAAAAAAATTATAACTTAGATTACATTAAAATGAAAAGTTGTTGAATGATAAATGGCACGTTTTGTCTAAATGATAAAAACAAGACTTTAAAAAAAAAAAGAGCTAAGCCCTAGTCAGTTTGGCTCAGTGGATAGAGCCTGCAAACTGAAAGGTCCCAGGTTCAATTCCAGTCAAGGGCATGTACCTCAATTGCAGGCTTCTCCCGGGCCCGGGCCCTGATCGGGGCATGTGCAGGAGGCAACCAATTGATGTGTTTCTTTCACATCTATATTTCTCTCTGTCTTTCCGTCTCTCTTCCACTCTCTCTAAAATTCAACAGAAAAATATCCTCAGGTGAGGATTTAAAAAAAAAAAGAGCAAAGACTAAGAGAAAATATTTACAACTCAAATAACTACAAAAAGTATCCAGAATATATTGAGAATGTCTACAAAACATCAAAAAGTAAATATATAAAAATGAGCAAAGAATACGAACAGGCGATTTCCAAAGGAAGAAACAGGAATCACCACTTATACAAATAAAAAATGCTTCATCTCATTAATGTTCAAACTAGATACATTCACACACACATCAAATGACCAAACTAAAATGTCTGATAATGTCAAGCATTAACAAGAATATAATTGCTAGTGGCAAATGTTCATGCTCATTCCTCTTTGGACAGGAACTTGGCAACATCTGGTAAATGTAAAGATGTATAAATTTCTAGACCCCAGCAATTCCTCTCCTAGAGATTTACCATGGAGGAAGGCACGTAGGTGTTTATCATGAGCCAGTACATTTGTGTCTATTGCAGCATTGTTTATAGTCTGTAAACCGAAAATGAGTAACTTCTGATATATTTGTACAATGGCATACTCTATGAGCAGTTAAAGTAAACCAATTAGATCTAGTATCTAGTTGTATGACAAGCATTGTTCAATGAAGGTAAAAACAAATTGCACAGATAAGTACATATTGAATACCAATTATATAAAATTTTAAAATTCAAGACAAATACCTTTTTACGTATTGAGTCATACCTATTGAGGATGTATCTCTGAAGGATGGTCCCTGAGCTCTGGAGAAAGAAAGGAAGAATGGGTATTTTTTTTTCCTGGTTTCTTAAATTATACTTCCAATACTATATTGTAATAAAATGTAACATATGTATGTGCATTTTAATGAAGTACTCTATGATAAAATAAAGCATATCTAGTCTCATTTAGCCAGTTGTCATAGTAATTTCTTAAAGATCCAAATTCTATGGCTTTATACCACTTAAAAATAATTTTGCAATTGCACATATCAGAATGATTTTCAAAAGCATGTTTAAGGCAACATACACTTATCCAGAAGCAGTAGCATTGACAAGCTATAATTTTGCTGCAGCATTTTCTGCTATGAAATGAAAGGAAACTAATCACTATTAGAGTGAGGATCCCTTTTTTGAAAATTTAATCATGCAGAAAACCTGCTTTAGATTTCCCTAAACCCGGGAAGCGTTCAAAGATGCCCATTGAAGGTCTGCTTCGAAGCCTGTGGCCATCCCTTTTGGCCATCCCTCTCAAGACCAAATTTGAGAATTCTGACCCTGTTTATCCAACCATCATAGGATTTGAAGAATATATTTATTTAAAACCCCCAAATTAGTCCTGTTTGTATCACCACCCCACGTGCAATGTCCTTGGCGTGGAGTACATGACAAAAGGCCTTTTTCTGCTTTCCTTTGTTTATTAAGGGGACGGCTCTGCTGACTGTAGATCAGAGAAGATGGGAAGATCTGAAGAGCCGACTGAAGATAGCACAGCCTCTTCATCTCCCACCTCGCCCGGGTATCAAAGATGCTCTGATTTTATTCATGTTGGGCACTAGTGTTCATGATTCCCCAGGAGTCTAAGATTTCAATTAAAATAATAATCGTGAGGCCACTAGGTGGTTGTGCATAAGTTAATATAGAAACAGGCTCCAAACCACAGATCTCTCCAAAGGCTATTAAAATCAACCACCCAAAGGCTGTGCTTCAGCGCTCTCAGGATAAGCCTTAATGAAAAAATGAATTTTTAAATAAAATATTTGTGCTTGCCTTTTCAACATATGAGTGAAATGTATTGAACTGACAGAAATTGAATGATGCGGTTCTCCTTCTGATACGGACGGCTTCATGCACCATGGCTTTCAATATTCAGAGCCAGCCTTTCCTGCAAAACACTACACAATAGATTGAGCCGTGGGGGTGGGGAAATGTGATGGGTTTTATGATGAGCATTAAAGAAAACGAAAGGCAAGAAAGTAAATGTGACTTAGGTCTAAAGTTCCCTTGCCTAAACCTTTCTTTTCCAGATAATGATGGCTTTAGAGCCAAGATGTATGACATAACCCAGCACCCGTTTTTTAAGAGGACAATTGCTTTACTCGTCCTGGCCCAGTCGGTACTGCTCTCTGTCAAGGTACTTGGTTTCACCTTTAGACTCTGGGAATGAATTTCTTACTCATGGCTGCATCCAAGAATATCACAGATGGCCACATCTACTAGGATCTGCGCTCTGTAGTATAAAATTTTTAAATTCACAATTGTGTTCAAATGGGAGGAAGAGGGGGGAGGGCTTTTCTGTGCCCAACGCCCGATGGATTTAGGCAAAGACGTGTGTGCTGTTTCCTATACAGTGGGACGTCGAGGACCCAGTGACTGTTCCTTTGGCAACAATGTCAGTTGTTTTCACCTTCATCTTTGTTCTCGAGGTACCGTAATGAGTCAGTGGGTTTGGGGGATGGGGGAGGGGGGACAGCACATTTTAAAGTAAGATAGTGTCCTCCTTTGATGGTCCTTATTTCAACTCTGTGCCCCATTGCTTTTGAAGTCTTTTTTTTTTTTGAGGGGGATAGTGTGCTCTTAGGGTATTTCCTTTTGAGTCTGTTCAGTTTAACTTGAACAAAGACTTCACTTTATATTTTGGAATTTTCTGACCGCAGGAATTGCAAACTGCCATTAATTTCTGTATCAGAATGATGGCCTGTCTAGTTATCTGAGTTCAAATATTTAGGGCAAACTGTACAGACCACTGTAATTCAGGGACTCAAATTGCAATGTGGTGGTAAAGGGAATTGACCCAGAGGTTATTTTAATATATGGTTCATATCATATTACTTTCCAGGGATAGTCTTTTTCTTCCAACAATCTCTTTGAAATACAAGCAGATTCTTATTTCACCCTGAACTGGTTGATGTTTCCCAAAATCTATGGTCTTTCACTTGGGGAAGAAAAATGTCCTGCTATCAAACTAGTCATAAAACAAGGAGAAAAGAGTGTGGAGAATATATATGTGTTACCTACTCAGCTTTTTTATATATGTGATAAATTTGTCTCTTTGGTTGCTACCTTTTAAAAAAAATAATGTGACTCAGGTTAATACATTTAAATATGTACTAAACAGTCCCGATTTACTCTCTTCACTGTTTTTCTCAGGTTACAATGAAGATCATAGCAATGTCACCTGCAGGCTTCTGGCAGAGCAGAAGAAATCGATATGACCTGCTGGTGACCTCACTCGGCATTGTCTGGGTGGTACTTCACTTTGCCCTCCTGGTAGGTGTAAATTGTTTATTTCAGTTGAAAATTTCATAGTTGTACAATAGAAGTAAAATGTGGCCATGAATATAATTTTAAATTTTCTAGGGGCCACATTTAAAATATGGAAAAGAAACAAATAACATTAATTTAAACCTACCATATCCAAAATACAGGGTGGGGCAAAAGTAGGTTTACAGTTGTTCATGTGGAAAATAATACTATAATTAATAAGTAATAGTACAAGAATAAATTCTGTGTTTTGTGTACTCACAACTGTAAACCTACTTTTGTCCCACCCTGTATTATCATTTCAACATGTCAGCAATATAAAAAAAAATTATGGCCTGGCTGGTGTGGCTCAGTGGTTGAGCAATGACCCATGAACCAAGAGGTCACTAATTTGATTCTCAGTCAGGGCACATGTCCGGGTTGCGGGTTCGGTCCCTGGGAGGGAGTGTGCAGAAGGCAGCGGTCAATGTTTCTATCTCTCTGCCCCTCTCCCTTCCTCTCTCTAAAATCAATAAAGTCATATTTTTAAAAGTTAAAAAATTATGAAGGAGAGATGTTACATGCTCTCTTTTGTACTAAATCATTGATTGAATGTGTATTTTACATTTACAGAATGTCTTAATTTATATTCACTACATTTCAGGTGCTCAATAATAGCATGTGGTAGTGGTTACCATGTTGGATACCCCAAGGTTCTAGTCTAGGGTCCACCATTTTTCAGCCTTGATCAAGTTATTTGTCTTCAGTGATCTTTTGTTTCCTGCTCTGAACTAGGAATATGATTTCATAATCTACAGGTTTCATATGAACATTATGAAGATCAAAGAATGTGAAGTTTTTCTAATTGTTAAGATTAAACAAACCATAACACATTATTATAAATATCCTCTTTTTTTTTTTAGTCTTCCTTGATCCCACCCAAAAATACTATTATCCATTTCCCCCTGCTCTCTTCTATTCATTCTCTTATCCTCTAGAAAAGATCCCTAGCACACAGAGCCCATTTACACATCACAAAGGCCTAGTTTTAGTATGTAATTGCTGTGCTCAGAAAGATATTGAGTGTCCTTTTTAAGGCAGTTATTAACTTCAGAGTCAGGGGCTGTGCCAAGCCCAGGTGGGCTTTCAGTCACCCTGATTCATTTCCTCAAACAATAAATGGTTTTGAGTACTACATATGTGCAAGTCACAGTGCTAGGAATTGAAAAGAATATAATGAATAAAACAAAGACAGTGACTGCTTTCATGAGCCACACAGCCTGGGAAGTTAGGTAGGCATCCATTGAATGCTCCCAAGTCTATGAGAATTACAGCTATGGAAAGGAGATGGAGGAGAGACACAAGTTGCTGGGACAACACATAATAGTAGATGGCTTTATCAGGGAGGTCCTGGAAGGCATCCTGAGGGAGTGATAATTGGGATCAGTCTGGAGGAGGAGGAGAGAATATTTTAGGATGTTCTAGAATGGAAGGGTGCAGTGGAATAGACAGCACTATTAGAGCAGGAGCAAAGGGAACAAGGTACAAGATCTGCATGGGTAAGAAGGTGTCAGACCTCTCAGGATCTTATAGTCCAAGTGAAAGTTTTGGGTCATCATCCTAGATCCTGTTGGGTGTTATCACTTCCAGAATGTAAAGCAAGTAGATACCTACAGTAGGTTTGGTGCTCACGTGGAGAGAAGGGGCAGCAAGGCCCAGGTTTTTATATATCTCCAAATTGCAACTAAAAGCTACTCAGTCCAAGCAAAAGAATAGAGTAAGCTTCCTAATTTTACCTGTCCCCAGAGAGGAGCTCTCACACCAAAAGACCAACTTGCCTATTCTGCCCCACTGCTTTGGTTCTTCTCCAAGAACCTCTGGTCCTGGAAGCATGCTCATCCTCCACTCTATTGTGCAGTGGACTCTGTGAAGGACGACGCGGTGCTTGTTCCCATCCAGAGATGATTCTGTGCAGACACATTCATTTCCTTGCACCACACCAGATATCTCACTGGACCCCCTTCCCAGGTGCCCATCTGTGACTTGTCATTTGCCTAGGCAAGGAACCTCAAGAAGAATCACGTTTTGGCACCAGCTTAATGCCACAGTTATTATTGCAGCTACAGTCAGTGGGATCTTTGTTTCTCAGATTAAGCTTTCTTAGTCATAAAGCACACCAAGTCATCTCTTGATCACATACTGAATGTGTTTTTGAGTAAGGAGGACATCTCTGAAATCATCTTAGACTAATGGACATGTGGCCAGCTGGTCTCCAGATGTCTCCAGAAGCCTTCAGAGAGAAGGAATCTGACCTCCAGCAATCTTTTCCAACACCCAAGCTCCCTCTGCCATGATCCCTTTATCTCCTGTCTCACTTGACTCCCTTGTGTTGCATTGTTATCCTAGATTATTCTTGCTCCTCAAAGGAACTAGCCATTATTTTATGTAAAAATAAGTTTTAAAATACAGAATTCAGCTGAGCAAAACAGAGACCAAAATTTAATTTAAGATTTAATTTTATAGTTAATATTTATTCATGAGTTTTGGCAGTGACCTTTTCAGCACATTTTTAAGATAAATTTCTTATGATACTTTTTACATTTTATTAAACTAATTATTCAGTAGACTTCACAGAAGACCCGAAATGAAAAAGGGAATTTTAACAAGATCTTTTGTGCAAATTATGAGAGGCTCTTTTCTGTTTAAATTTCAGAATGCATATACCTACATGATGGGCGCATGCGTGATTGTCTTTAGGTTTTTCTCGATCTGTGGAAAGCATGTAAGTATGCTGTAAAGAACAGCATCAGAGGTTGCATATGCAATAAAGAGAAAAGCATTGACTAACTTCAGCTGTCCTTCTGGTCACTATGCTGTAGTTAACAAATTGCTAGACATTAAAGTCCCAATGAGTAAATTTTAAATATTAAAATGAGTCAGTAGCTTAGTTATCTTGTAATGTTTCCTGATATTTATGATGTTTTATTTATTCTTCATATTTTCTAAGTAAATTTAATTATCAACTAAAAATAACATATCAGGCATGAAAGCAAAAACCAGTGGTCTTTCTTAATATGTCTTTATTTTTAGTTTTATTTTTAATAAAGTTATTTTACTTCAAAGAAAAATAATCCTTAATGAACATTCATAATTCTATGATTCCATATTTCTTTATCTTCTTTATTAATGTTCATACATACATTCCACATATATTTTCATTTTTTAAAGTACTCTTTCCTTTTTTGATTCTGACATTACATCATATGGGATGCACATAATGAACACTTAATACTTAATGGTATTTAATATTTTACCATTGTTTAGGTTTGTTCTTATGAGCATCTATTGGTAGAAGAATACTGAGTCTACTTGTTACAGCCCAAAAAGTGTATAGTCCTTACCATAGTGAATTAGAGAGCAAGAGAAGAGAAAATGAAGGCTAAAAACCTTTGAGTTGAACTCTTATTAATTTGGCTGAAAAGACTGAACAGTTTGACATACAAGTAGGATTTCTCTCTGTCTAAGGGTTTCTGAACAATATTCAGATTTAATAGCTAAAAGGAAACAATTTTCAAACGATATCCTGAGGGTCATTCTTATGCCCCTCAACATGCTTAAATGTTATTTACTCCCCATGTTCTCCTCAGCTTAATGAATTGAATATTCATATTCTCTCTCCACCCATCTCTCTCCATCTCCATCTCCATACAGGTAACGCTGAAGATGCTCCTCCTGACGGTGGTCGTCAGCATGTATAAAAGCTTCTTTATCATCGTAGGAATGTTCCTATTGCTGCTGTGTTACGCTTTCGCTGGCGTTGTCTTATTTGGTACTGTGAAATATGGAGAGAACATTAACAGGTCGGTGTGTATTTATCTTTCTATTCATTTATCAAGCAAGCTTTTTTAGTAATAAAGTCATGAATAAGCACCTGAATGATTTTTGTCTATTAAAGATGGAGGCGAAGGAAGAAGCAATCCGTTGGAAATTAAAACAAAATAAAAAGGCCAAATTTTAAATGACATTTTTCTAACTGAAGGCAGTATACATGTTTACTATAGAGACCTTAGAAAATTCAGGAATAAAAGAATCCATAACTCCCTACCATGCAGGAATAACCACTCCTGATAACCTGGTGAATTCTAGCACTTTTTCTAACCACACGCTACCAAAAATGATATATTATTTTTAAGTAAATAATTTTGAGATGATATTGGGTTTCTTTCTTTTTTAGCAAAGCATGGAAAGTTAGAAGCCCCCCAAAAAAATGTTATTATGTATGAAAAGCATTTTTCAAAGATAGCCTTAAATTTTGTGGAAGCATCTTATCATTTAAAATAGAAAAGTCCTCACACAACCAATTATATACAGATGTGTCTTGTTGCAGAAATGACTGATTTGACACATGGCAGCTCCACCTTTTATAGCATAATCCACATGAAAGAAACAATCACTTTATATTGTCAAAGCTTGCTCCCTCGGTCATTCAAGATGAATGGGAAGAAATTGGTGGCACCATGCAAGGGGTGGGTTATTAAGACAGCTATACTTGAGACAAGTATATATAACAAACAAATAAGAGAGTGTAACCTTTGGAAATGATTACTTGGCAATCAAATTTGCTCCAAAATCCACCTGCTTTGGTAGTAGCAGACCTTACTACTTCATGACAACTATGTGACTCAACCTCTGTTCTCTTTTTCCTTAATTTAGGCATGCAAACTTCTCTTCGGCTGGCAAAGCTATTACCGTACTGTTCCGGATTGTCACAGGCGAAGACTGGAACAAGATTATGCATGACTGTATGGTAAATATCTCTTTGTCAATAACAGTGCCTTAGCTTAGAATCATTTGAAGCTCTTTGGCTATGCAACATTGGCGGTAGCCTCCTTGTTAGCATCAAGGCTTTGCGTACAAAACACATATTCTGGCCTTTTAGTCCATAAAATTGCTGTCTTTTATGTTACAGTGTGTGGACATACAGGAAGAGTATCCAGTGAACTCAACTTGAACTATCATAGTTTCATTCAATAAAATTCATTATGTAGGCATTGTTCTTTCCCTCCCACCTTTAACATTTTGGCAGTTAAGTACAAACAGGAGAATTCTGCTTCCTTAGTTCAATTTATTCAACAGATAATCACCAATCCCCTGGTTTATACTGAGCCATACAATGGGTGCCAGGTGTTCAGTGATTCCAAGGCACCCACAAGGAGCTGGGGGCTCTGACCTATACTCTCTCTTCTCTAGGCTAATTCTCATCATCCTTCAGGTATCACTTTAAACATCAGTTCCTTCAGGAATCCTGCCTTATGTGAAGACTACAAGTTATATGTTTTTACAGCACTCTATATTTATCTTTTTTTCACGTGTTTCACAACTATAGTGAGTTATTGGCTTAGTTTATTTCATCTCTTTCTCATCCTTCAGATCAATGTTATCCAAAAAAAATTTCTGCAATGATGGCCATCGGCACTGTCCAATTCAATAGCCACTACCCACATGTGGTTATTGAGCATTTGAAATGTGACCAGTTAAAGTAAGGGATGGAATTTTAAATCGTATTTCATTGTATTTAATGTCAATGAATGTAAATTTAAATAGCCTCAAGTAGTTAGTGGTTACCGTGTTGGACTGCACAGCTCTAGACTGTCAGCAACATGAAGAAGGGTCAGGGTCTTTGTCTTGCTTACCAGTCTGTCCCCAATACTGAGCAGAAACCTAGCACATAGTAGGAACTCAAGAACTTTATGCATGAATGAATGGGGACAGATCAGATATGATACTAGGCAGAATTAAATAAACTCAAAGTAAAGAAGCAGCAGAATGCCATGGAAATGTGGAAGAGAGAGCTAGTCTCTGGCTGAAAGACACTGGAGGTTTCTCAGAGGTGTTGGCATTTTATTGAGCCAGGAATGTCCCAACATCCCCTAATGGTGCTGGAATAAGGATCACTGGCTTCTCCTCACACAATTTGAATGTGAAATTGTTGTGTATAACAAATCCTCCTAAAATCTTACCCCATTACTTAAATCAGATAAAAAAATTAAATGCCCTTTTGTTTGACGTTCTGCAGTTTGATCACAATGACAAATTATCATTTTGGGCTAGTGCAGGTGGCAGACAGAGCATCTCTTAGAGCAGTGGTTCTCAACCTTCCTAATGCCGCGACCCTTTAATACAGTTCCTCACGTTGTGGTGACCCCCAACCATAAAATTATTTTCATTGCTACTTCATAACTGTAATTTTGCTACTGTTATGAATCGTAATGTAAATATCTGATACGCAGGATGTATTTTCATTGTTACAAATTGAACATAATTAAAGCATAGTGATTAATCACAAAAACAATATGTAATTATATATGGGTTTTCCGATGGTCTTAGGCGCCCCCTGTGAAAGGGTCGTTCGACCCCCAAAGGGGTCACGACCCACAGGTTGAGAACCATTGTCTTAGAGGAAACCGGTTCATTTTCATTAGGCTTCTAAAATGTCAATGAACTTGGGATTCTGCAAGATGAAAACCATAGCATAAGTGAAATATTCTTTTTACTTTTGCCACAGATGATGCATCTAACACATGCAGCTTCAGAGATTACTTTGAAGTTAATTATTATATTTTACATGGGTCAGGATTATGTTCATTAACTACAGTCAGTTAACAAAAATTTGTATTCTTCTCTGCTGTCATTCTTTCCTCTCTCTCCCTCCCACTGCCCCGCAGGTCCAGCCACCCTTTTGTACTCCAGATGAATTTACATACTGGGCAACAGACTGTGGGAATTATGCTGGGGCACTTATGTATTTCTGTTCATTTTATGTCATCATTGCCTACATCATGCTAAATTTACTTGTAGGTAAGTGATGTTCGCTGCATATTTTTTTAAACCTCTTTAAACTCAGGTACTTAGATAATTAGGTATAATTTTCAAGTAATTATCCTGGATTGCTTGGGGTGGGTGTTTCGTGGCATTAATTATAAATTGTTTTCTCTCCATTCAAAAGCTGAAAAGACTTTTGAAAGGCATGTAAATGACAGTTGATTGCAATTTCAAGAGTTGTCCTATTTATTATGATTATTAATCTCAAAAGAGCTCTCATGGATTGAGGTGAACAAATATCGGGGGTTGAGAGGGTTACCTTTATAGCCTCGAAATGTCACATTTATGGTTTTGAAAGACACATGTTGTTCACCCAGCTGTGAGGCCACCCAGAACTCAATTTGACCTTTAAAAACTGTCCTGGAACTCTCAGCTACCAGCAAAAGCCAGCTGGCATGAACGTCTATATACACAGAATGTGTGTTTATGCTCATGACCCTCATGTTTTGGAAAGCCAGGAGCTAGAGAAATAGCTTAGTCCAAGTGTAAAACATGCCAACTTGGAAGCCATACTAAAAGCACTTTAAAAATTTGGCTTATCATGTAGCTGATACAATTCATTATTTATAATAGATGTTTTACAGTTTCTAAAAAATGACAGATGACAATTTAGATAATTGTCTAAATTCGCCATTTTTTTCCTTTTAGCCATAATTGTGGAGAATTTCTCCTTGTTTTATTCCACTGAGGAGGACCAGCTTTTAAGTTACAATGATCTTCGCCACTTTCAGATCATATGGAATATGGTGGATGATAAACGAGAGGTAGGAGAGTGGATTGCCATTTCACGCCCCACTCAAAAGAGACTTACTACCCTATCTCAGACATGGTTTTGTTGTTGGCATGGACAGATATTGAATTTTGAGGGGCCATTGGTGAATTGCAGAAGGCTGTCATCGACAATCCAGCAGAATATGCTAGGAGGGGAGAGGGACAGAATAGATCCCTCTTGTGTCCTTTCCAACTAAGAATGTCCTCTTCTTCCAGCATTCAGATGTTGGCAAGAAAAGAAACCAAGGGAGCTCTGAAGAAACCAGCCCTGGGCTCGGGGCAAGAGAAGGGATGAAGTTCAAATGATCAAAGTAACAATATAGTACAAATTCATGATCACCTCAACCTAAAAGAGTAATCCTGATTACAAGTGCAAATGAGTTATTTCAGTGATTTATTAAAGTTACTACTTTTAATTATTTTGGACTTAGTATTGGTCAGTTTTAATAATGAAGCTTACCCAAGATTTACTAGAATTAGCCAAAGCAGCAGCAGCTTCCTGCTCCTCCTCCTCTTTCCCATTCTTCATCCAGCAGACACTCAGGCATTGCTCTAGGCACTGGAGATATACCAATGAGTGAGATGGTCAGGTCTCCTATTCTAATATAGGAGACAAAATTAAAGTGAAATAATCATTACAATTTCAAAAACTATAAACACTCTGAAGAAGGTAATAAGGTAGAGAGCGATTGGAGTCAGGAGCAGACAACTTTAGCAGGAATGGTCATGAAGGCCTGTCTCTTTGATCCAATATCTGAAAAAGGAGGAGAGATCAGCCATGGGAAGATCTTGGGGACAATCTGAAAATAGTTTCAGGAAGAGTTGACTGAAGGCATGAAGACTAAGGGGCCAGAACAGGCTGAGTAAACGGGCTATCTTGGTCTAGAGCTGGAGCCCGAACAACCAGGCATGGCTTTTTCCACCCCCTTTGCTTGTTCTTCCCTTGGTCCCCCCACTTCATCCAGGCACCAGTGTTGGGGATTTTCTTCCAGGACAGTGACCTGCATGTACAGGTGTCTGGCCCCATTGATCTCTATGACTGCTGCCTACAGGAACATGCCTTCCTCTGACATACACATGGAAGATGGCACCACCACTCACATGTTAAGATGTTAGTAACTGACAGGAACTCGTGGCCCATCAATGTCCCTGCCTCTCACTCAATACCTGGTTTAAAGACACAGCCAGGCTGGCACGGTAGGTGCTGTTGCCTGGAAGAGAGTGACACATGGAAGATTTCACAATCTTGAGCTGCTCTGAGCAAGAAGAGGGCAGAGCTGGGAACCCAGTTCACTTGTATGTAATTGTTCTAATAATGGAGGAGAACTGAAAAGGAGTGATCATTCCACAGAAGAACAACTTATAATAAACGTTTACAAGCTCCTAGTATCTGAACTTGGTGCAAAATGGATCATGTACATGTGTATGTTTCATTTCTTGTGCTAAAATAAAGCATTCCTGAGCCACTCAGCACGTGTGTTAGAGGAGCACCCGGCAAGGCTGAGTCAATGGCACGGGTATGGAAAGAAAAGTCTATGGGCTCGATCCCCAGTAGGGGGCGTGCAAGAGGCAGCCAGTCAATGATTCTCTCTCATCATTGATGTTTCTCTCCCTCTCCCTTCCTCTCTGAATTCAAAAAAATATCTATAATAATAAAAGCATAATATGCTAATTAGACTGGGTGTCCATCCGGACATCCTTCCGGACGACCTTCTGGACAAAGCTGGGGCTGCGAGGGAAGCCCGGGTCCCGGGTGCTGGAGGGAAGTCAGTGCCAGCAGCCGGGGGAAGGAAGGCCTATGCTTGCACGAATTTCGTGCATCAGGCCTCTAGTACCGTGGTCGGCAAACCATGGCTTGTGAGCCACCATGCAGCTCTTTGGCCCCTTGAGTGTGGCTCTTCCACAAAATACCACGTGCGGGCGCGCACATACAGTGCAATTGAAACTTCGTGGCCCATGCGCAGAAGTCGGTATTTTGTGGAAGAGCCAGTATTTTGTGGAAGAGCCACACTCAAGGGGCCAAAGAGCCACATATGGCTCGCGAGCCGCGGGTTGCCGGGCCGCAGTTTGCCGACCACTGCTCTAGTATATTTTAAAAAAAGAAGAAGAAAGAAAAGCCTAGTCAAGTTAGTGTCTGTCCAGGACAGGCAGAGGGAGAGCTTTCCTCCCTCCTTGGCTGCGAATGCTTAGTGGTTGTGAAACTCCACAGAACTAGAGGCGCACCTGCAGAAACTATGTGCTCAGGTCTTTATTTTTTGTCATTTTTTAATATTTTTAAACATTTTTATTGCTTTTTAGAGAGAGAGGAAGAGAGAGGGAGAGAGAAAAACATCAATGTGAGAGGAAAACATGGATCAGCTGCCTCCTGTATGACTCCCACCCAGGATCAAGCCCACAACCCGGGCATGTGCCCTGATGGGGAATGGAACTGGCAACTTTTTGATGCACAGAAGGACACCCAGCCAACTGAGCCACACCGGCCAGGGCTAAATTTATTTTTTAGTTACCGTGGACATACAATATGATATTAGTTTCAGGTGTACAACATAGTGATTAAACATTTATATACCCTAGGAAGTGCTCAGCTTTTATCTCCCAGCCAGCCTCGGGAAAATGAACAGCTTCCTTGCCTCCGGTGCTTCATTGGCCATCTTTTGAGAAATGGCTCCAGGTGTGAAAACAGAGCCCCAGAGAATCCCTGTGGCCTAATGATGATTTACATACCGAGCTGCTGTGCTCTGCCACCAGGGGGTGATCCCGACCTTCCGCGTGAAGTTCCTGCTGCGGCTGCTGCGGGGGCGGCTGGAGGTGGACCTGGACAAGGACAAGCTTCTGTTTAAGCACATGTGCTACGAGATGGAGAGGCTGCACAACGGCGGCGACGTCACCTTCCACGATGTCCTAAGGTACTGGGGAGGCTGTGGGAGGGGTCACAGCTGTGTGCCCCAGAGCTGAACAGAGTCGAGACTGACGCTGTGACCATGAAAGGCCTCGTGAAATGCAATTAACAAGTACGTTCTGAACCTAAAAATGCCACATCTGCTGTGGTTAGAAGACTCCATGTGGTCTTCCTCGCTGAACTTTACTAGTCGTGTTCAGGTGAGCGCCTCCGGGGTGGGGCGGGGGGGCGAAAGGAGTGGCCTGAGGGGCCCAGAAGTGCCCCTTCCAGAATGGGAGCTCCTGAAGGAGGGACGCGGAGGGAGCTTGGGCCCACCCTTCCTGTTTTAAGGAAGGAACTGGCCCAGAAGAGATGAGTGACTTGCTGACAGTCACTCAGCCCCTGAGGCCAAGCTGGAGCTAAAATTCAGATCTTCCCACTTGTGGGTTGGGCAGGAATTTGCCTGGGCTGCTGTGTCATGGGTGCCCCAGGCAGGTTGACAAACCACGGTTTCCAGACGTGTGGTGAGGCTCCAGACAGGACAAGGGCACACTACGGCCGGAGAGACTTCTCTGTTAGTTTGCTCTGACTGCTGTAATGGAATACATACACTGAGTGGTTTAAACAACACACCTACTGTCTTCACAGCTCTGGAGGCTAGCTCTGGAGGCTAGAAGTCTGAGATGGAGGTGTCAGCAGAGTTGGTTCCATTTAAGGCCATGAGGGAGAATCTGTTCCACCCTCTCCCTCAGCTTTGGGGGGTTTGCCGGCCATCTTTGGCCTTCCTTGGCTTTTAAAAGCGTCACCCCAATCTCTACCTTCATCTTCACATGGTGTTCTCACTGTGCATGTGTGTGGTCTGTGTCCAAATTTTCATTTCTATAAGGACACCGGTTATATTGGATGAGGGACCCACCCCATTCCAGGATGACCCAATGTGAACTAGTTATATCTGCAGTGGCCTGTTTTGGAATAAGATCACATTCTGAGGTACTGAGGGTTAGGACCCCAAAATATTTTGGGGAGGTTAGGGGGAGAACAATCAACTCAGAAATTTTCTTAAACAGGAGCCCATGGATAATATTCAGAAGGTCATGGCCTTGGAGAGGAAAACAATTACTTCTTTACTGTCACTATTCACTCACTAAAATGCAGCATTCTTTTTTATGATGCATGCGGTCAACAAACCATATTAATATTAGCAATACCCATGTCTTTGTCATCAGTAGAAATCATAGGTATTTTTCAGGTCACATTACTGCTATGGCTGATATCTTAAAATATCCTTAATGCACACCAGTACTTCTAACTTATGGTGATCATTTGACCTCAGCTAAATGTTATTATTTAATGCATTAATAAAGAAGCACTTATGTTATTATATTACTCCTTTCCATGAAAATAATTTGAGAACTCTATTTTTTAATATATTTTTATTGATTTTAGAGAGAAAGGGAGAGAGATTGAAACATCAATGATGAGAGAGAATCACTGATTGGCTGCCTCCTGCTGAGGATCCAGCCCGCAACCCCTGGCATGTGCCCTTGACTGGAATCGAATCCGGGACCCTTTGATCTTCAGGCCAATGCTCTATCCACTGAGCCAAACCAGCTAGGGCTTGAGAACTCTATTTTGACACAATTGGTTTCCTTTGAAATAATGTGTATTTTATTTTATGCATCTAAAACATGATTCTAAAAAATGTCTCATGGGCTCCCCTGCCAATGGGATTCATGCCACGGAAAAGGTTAAGAACCCTCTACCAGCACCAGCTGTTTTCATCATGTTGCATGTAACTGGCAAGTTAAACAGTGGGTATTGAGTCACAAATTTCAGGAGCAATCAGGTATACAGAAATATGATTATGATTGGAATTTGAAAAAAATGCCAGGAGAGGAAGGATCTGGGGGTGTTCTTTCAAGGTCTCAATTTTACCTCCCACTATTCACTTCTTCCAGGAACAAGCGAAAAGGCAGAAAAAGATGGGGCAGGAAACACAGATGAATAGCAAAGAATGACAACTCTTTCAGAATGTCAGTCTTTTCTTCTAGTGACAAATATTTTTAGGCTGAAAACGAGGCATCTAGGCATACCACTGTCATTAATATTGTATTCAGCCTCTTTGGGACACAGTGATGCATCTGATAAAATGAACCCAGGCAAAGTCCATGGTAGCATGGTTGGCCTCTCCCTACCTTCTAGCCCAGTGTATGATGAAAACAGTTCAGCAATGATGAGCTTCTTGATGAGGCAGGGGAGAAAGAAAGAGCAAATGCACTTTTTCCCTCCATGGTGGGAAAAGACTTAGCAAAGAAGAGATCACTGTACACGTGCTGCATGGGGATGGGCCTCTCAAGTGCCACCATGCTGTGATTTGGGCTAGGGAAACGGAACTGAGGTCCCACCCAGGCCAGGCAGGGATGGAGCAATAACTGAGATCCTGCAGCCACACTAGGGAGCGCCAAGCTGCCAGAAGGGGCTGCATCCTCCTTTGGCTGTGGACTCCTCAGCCTGAACACATGAGTTGCCTTATTGCCCGGGAGCCCCCATGCAACACATTAGCTGTGTTGGTTTCATTTGCCGCCGTCTGGATCTATTGTACCGAGGACTGAATGGGAATGAATGTTTCACTCTGGTTTTGCAACCATCAACATTAATGAGGAAGATCCAGGGGGACAGATGAGATAAATTGAGAGGGAAATGGGGGGATGGGAATGCATAGCCTGTAGCCAAGCATATTAACCACCACCAATTGGAGCTGAATGTGAATAGACAGAGCAGTTATCCTTCTACAGGGAAAGTTCCAGAATCTTAAGCAGCTGATTATTAGGGCATAGCCTGGATCTTTGGTTTTACAAAAACTTACTGTTATAATCACCTCACTAAATCAACGTATTTCATCATTTAACAAAGTAGGTACATGACTATGCCCATTTTACAGATGAGCGAAGAGAGGCAGTGAGGTGACATAACTAGCCCAAGCCATCCAGTTAGACAGGGTGGCATCAGACTGCTCCACTGGTAGGACTGAGTGATGACCTCTCTGAACTTTGAGATCTCTAAGAGTCTAAATCCCAGGTAAATCAGAGCTGCAATTGCTGTTATATTTCCCCAACAGCATGCTCTCTTACCGGTCGGTTGACATCCGGAAGAGTCTGCAGTTGGAGGAGCTGCTTGCAAGGGAGCAGCTAGAGTACACCATTGAGGAGGAAGTGGCCAAGCAGACCATCCGCATGTGGCTGAAGAAGTGCTTAAAGCGCATCAGAGCCGTGAGTGAACCAGAAGCATCTGGCATTTTATTTCCTCCTCCAGAGCTTCCTGAACAAGGGGATTAGATCCTTCTGTGATTAGCCTTATATCCCTTCAACTATGTCAACTTCTTCCACTTACCATGGTCAGATGATGATTCAAACCTTAACTCTAGTCCAAATCCAGTGGCACCCCCTTAAGCAGAGTCCATAAGAAGCTTCCATTAAATCACATTTTTATAATAGAGTGTGACTGTTTCAGAAGCAGTTCGTTGATATTACAATATTCATGCTGCCCATTTATTAATCTCAGCTGTTTAAACTGCCAGCAATCTCTACACATTGAATGGCAACTGAATTTACAAAACTACTTTTCATTTGTTCCTAAAAATCCCCAACATATTGTTGATAATTCTGTGTGATCTTTAATTAAAGACCACCTCTCCTGGGAGTGTAGCGATCTGTTTGCTGCTTCCTGACCTATAAGCCTATGAGATTCTCTAACTGTTAAATCCATGAACATGAGCATTAACTGTGTTTGCATACACTGTGTTCACAATGGGCATTTCTATTAGGTAATTAATTTTATGAATGCTTTTGACTTATGCTTTACACACAGGGGGAAAATCAAATTAATCACTAACCATTTCTACATGATAGATTTTTAAAATCCTGTTTTTCAGAACAACATCAACTGCAGAAACACATCTTTCTATTGGATGAATTAAGGGCCCCAGAGAAACCCAACACCCCAATCTCCTATAGCCAGGCACCTGTCACAGCTGGCCCACCATAGCTCTGCTAGATCCAGAGATAGAATCTGCGGTCCAGAGGCCCTGCAAGGGCTCAGGGAGTGCAGGCCCACCACCAGGCTGCCCTGGTTCCGGTGTGTGCCAAGACAGATCAGCCTACTGGACTGGCCCGCTCCAGTCCAGAACCAAGACAAAAATGAGGGTTTCACTTTTGCACCCAAGATTCTCTGCCTCTTACATCTTAGAGGAAAGGGGCGATCCACATAGGCTTAGCGAGCACAGAATAAAATAAGAAGGGGGGGAAAATCAGATCACCAACAACATTAGTGATTTAAGAATTCTAATTTAAATAAAACACAAGCTAGTGCCAGTGAACATTACTCCCAATGGTTATGCAAATGAAAATAGAAGGGGTAAGCAATTCTATGTCTCTAAGCCAGCCGTGGGCAAACTACGGCCCGCGGGCCGGATCCGGCCCGTTTGAAATGAATAAAACTAAAAAAAAAAAGACCGTACCCTTTTATGTAATGATGTTTACTTTGAATTTATATTAGTTCACACAAACACTCCATCCATGCTTTTGTTCCGGCCCTCCGGTCCAGTTTAAGAACCCATTGTGGCCCTCGAGTCAAAAAGTTTGCCCACCCCTGCCTAAGCCTTTCTTTATGGGAGTCTAGAAAAGAAATTAGTTAATGACCCTTGAAAGTTCCGAAATTAGTTGAAAGTTCCTAAGAGGTCACCAAGCCTACAGGGTCTGTGGAGCAGAGAGAAGAAAATATGAGTGACAGGTGGGGCAGAAGGACGGTGGGCTGATTTTCCCGTTCCTGCAAGAACAGTCATATTTCCACAGAAACAGCAGCAGTCGTGCAGCATCATCCACAGCCTGCGAGAGAGCCAGCAGCAGGAGCTGAGCCGGTTTCTGAATCCCCCCAGTATCGAGACCACCCAGCCCAGTGAAGACATGAACGCCAACAGTCAGGATAATAACATGCAACCTGAGGTATGAGTATGAGGTGTCTTTCATTCAAGGCTATTCTGTGCATGTTTAAAATAAAAGATAAACCGGTGCTGTTCACAGCCATTTCAAATAAGGTGACAATATATCTAATAGGAAGTTTTTACATTAAAAAAAAACAACAACAATCGGCCCTGGCCAGTTTGGCTCAGTGGATAGAGCGTTGGCCTATGGACTGAAAGGTCCCAGGTTTGATTCTGGTCAAGGGCACATACCTTGGTTGCAGGCTCCACCCCGGCCCAGGCTTGTGCATTCCCTCTCTCTTCCATTCTCTCTACAAATCAATGGAAAAATATCCTCGGGTGAGGATTTAAAAACAACAATTGGAATAGGGTGATCCAATATTATATTTATGTCTTTGTGGTCCCTGAGTTAATTGAGGTTATTTGAAAAGATTCTGATTTGTATGGATACTAAAATAATGTTAATGCCCTGGATTTTAAAATACTGTTGATCTCTCTCTCTCTCTCTCTCTCTCTCTTCCTCCCCATCCCCCTCTCTGTCTGTCTAAAGAGTTAATATCACCTCTGTAAGGGCTTAATTTAAGTCTGGCAATATCACTTGATTTAGGGCAGGGGTGGGGAATGTCTGGCCCTCGGGCCGTATAAGGCCTGAGAAATCATTTGGTCTGGCCCTGCCAAAGCATTAGGGGTGAGTTAATTACATGTTTGACCAAATATAGCAGGCTAATTTTTTTTTTTATATTTTATTGGGTTTTGTTTTTTACAGAGAGGAAGGGAGAGGGATAGAGAGTTAGAAACATCGATGAGAGAGAAACATCGATCAGCTGCCTCCTGCACACCCCCTACTGGGGATGTGCCCGCAACCAAGGTACATGCCCTTGACCGGAATCGAACCTGGGACCCTTTAGTCCGCAGGCCGACACTCTATCCACTGAGCCAAACCGGTTAGGGCTAGCAGGCTAATTTTTAAGTTGATAATTTTGTGTGGCCCTCGAATGATGTTATAAATATCCAAATGGCCCTTTGGCAGAAAAAGGTTCCCCACCCCTGATTTAGGAGAACAGGGTTTGCCTGAAGCTCTGCCCTAAATGTTTTCTCCTACCAAGTCATAGAAACTTGCAGTAAAATCAATGAAAAGGTTTGAAATTGACCTTCCTTCTCCTTAAATTGAGGATTTGTTCTTCCTCAGTTGGGCATGAGAAGAGCATATGGAGTTTGGGGACGATTAACTTGAAGGCTTCCTATTTACTAGGGCACAGCATATTTTCATTTCCAAACTCAATCTACATGTCCATAAAAATACCACAGAGTCCCCCATGTCCTGGAGAGCCCTGCGCGGTGAGACAGCTGGCAGAGGCCCTGCCCTTTGTGAGGATGCAGTTATGGACTGGGTGGAGTTGATCCAGAATTCTGAGAGTCCACCCCTCCTCCCCCCTCCGACAGCATCAGACTTCCGATTGTAAAGTGACACAGTCAGGGGCCAGCGATAAACACCGAAGCCTGAGGCTTCGTGGCCCAGTGGGATGCTCCAAAGAGCCCTCTTGTTTATAGCCCAGATTTGAGTGGATTTCATGTTGTTGGCTCCCCAGCCTGTAGAAATCATCTGCCACCAATTACAGGCACTTGTTTAGGAGACAGTCAACAAAGAGGGATATGGAAGTTTCTACAATGGCCCTGCCACCTATGTGCCCTGAAGAGGGCTGGCAGTGCCTGAGGTGTAGGGCTGAGATAAGGTCAGGATAGTCAGATGGGGATGAGTCAGGGAAAGTGATGATTGCAGAGCTCTCTGGTTTTAGGTTAAAAGAGCAAAAAAACCCCAAGAGGTACCCAAAACATCAAAAGGGGATATTGAAGCAATGTGAAGGCCAATGTGCTGATAGGAAAGGGGAAGGTGAGGGTGAACCAGAGGGTGGGTAAAATGTATGGAGAGTCTCAACATTTCTCTTTGACTTTAAATATATTTTATTGATTTTTTACAGAGAGGAAGGGAGAGAGATAAGAGAGTTAGAAACATCGATGAGAGAGAAACATCGATCAGCTGCCTCCTGCACACTCCCTACTGGGGATGTGCCCGCAACCAAGGTACATGCCCTTGACTGGAATCGAACCTGGTGTGCAGTGGTGACTCTCACTTTCCTTGCCTCTTTTTTACTCAATTTCACTTTTCCTTTCCCCATTGTGGACATTATAGGTCCACATTGTTTTTCCCACTAGTTTCCTGTCATTTTCTTTCTTTTTTCAATTATAGTTTACATTCATTATGATTCTGTATTAGTTTCAACTGTATAGCATAGTGGTTAGAAATCATGTACTTTACAGAGTGGTCCCCCCCCCCCAAACCTGGTATTCCAACTACCTACATAGTTATTGACTATACTAGAGGCCGGGTGCACGAAATTCATGCGGGGGGGGGGGCGGCATCCCTCAGCCCAGCCTGCATCCTCTCTAATCCGGGACCTCTGGCTCCTAACCGCTCACCTGCCTGCCTGCCTGATCGTCCCTAACCCCTCTGCCTGCCTGCCTGATCACCCCTAACTGCCTCTGCCTCTGCCTGCCTGTCTGCCTGATGCCCCTAACTGCTCCCCTGCTGGCCTGATCACCCCTAACTATTCTCTCTCCCCTGCCGGCCTAATAACCCCTAACTGCTCTCCCCTACTGACCTGATTGTCCCTAACTGCTCTCCCCTGCTGGCCTAACCGCCTCTGCTTGCCTGCCTGATTGCTCCTAACCTCTCTCCCCTGCCAGCCTGATTGTCCCTAACCGCCTCTGCCTCGGCCCCCGCCACTGTGGCTTTGTCCAGAAGGATGGCCAGAAGACGTCCAGTCTACCCAGTCTAATTAGCATATTACCCTTTTATTAGTATAGATTATTAGCTATATTCCTTATGCTGTACTTTAATCCCCATGACTATTTTGTAACTACCAATTTGTACTTCTTAATCCCTTCACCTTTTTCACCCAGAGCCCCTCGCCCACTCCCCTCTGGCAACCATCAGTCTGTTCTCTATTTATGAGTCTGTTTCAATTTTGTTTGTTTATTTTGTTCTTTCTATTCCACGTACAAGTAAAATTATATAGTATTTGTCTTTCTCTGTCTGACTTATTTCATGTAGCATAATACCCTCTAGTCCATCCTTTTGCTGTTGCAAAAGGTTCAACTTCACTTTTTTTTGTGGCCAGATAGTATTCCATTGTGCACTAGTATATGTACCACAACTTTTTCACCTACTCATCCACCCATAAGCACGTTTTCTAACTTTCTCAAAACAAAAGGAGGGACAGGCCCATGATGCAGAAAGAGGGAGGAGAGCACAGGGTTCAGAAAGTCACTGCTCTCTTCTTCCCCCTGCAGACAAGCAGCCAGCAGCAGCTTCTGAGCCCCACCCTTTCCGACAGAGGGGGAAGTCGTCAAGACGCAGGGGATGCAGGGAAGCCCCAGAGGAAGTTCGGGCAGTGGCGTCTGCCCTCTGGTATGTGCGCCAAGTCCTTTCTCCATTGATTGAGGCATTTTAAGTTGTTGACATTCTGTGTGTTTGGGATCTTAGATTTCAAAATAAGGGTCTGCATCTGAAGTTATTTATAGACAGGAAAAATATATCTTCTTATCAAAGATATTTCCCTCAAAGTAACTTCTCTAAATAGCACTGTATTGGCCCTCGTTTTCAGTTACTATGGTTGAGAAGGCAATACTTATTAACAAAGTGAGACATCATAGCCAAGATTATTTTAAAAAAGAGGATTTCCAAGGGCTTCCTGAGTGTATTTAAGGCGTTTGCAAACATAGGCAAAATTTATTTAATCTAAGAGGAAGTGAATAGATATGATCATTTAGAAAATGCCACAGTTCTCAAAGAAGGAACAACAAAACTTACATAGTATAATACAATATGATATGATATATGATATATATGATATATGATGTATATTAGTGCTATACTACTTACTGTGTGCCAGTCAGTATTATACGTGCATTGTGTGTGTTCCCTCACTTAATCCTCACAATCCTATTCTTTTTCACACTCAGTGAGATAATTTTCTTCTAGGAGAACATGGGGTTTTGGAAAGCCAGGGCAATCCCATTAAGGGCACTCAGAAGTGGAGGGGAGCAGTGATCTGCACAGCCCACTGTCCCCCATTTGTGGTTTTCTGTTTAAATAACTGAATCCGCGATAAAATAGGGGCTTCCTAATGCTCCTTAATTGTTCCCCTTCTTCGACCCAATCCAATGAGAAGGTGGATGATGTTGCAAACTCTTCTGTAGCATGTCTGCTCCACAAAGCAGAAGACAGTGTAACTGAATTTTGAGACTAAAAGTTGTTCAGTGGATCTGAACATCAGAAGGAAAATATCTTTTTTCACATCCGGGAGTTTATTATTTAGGGATCAGAGGGAAGCTAGCCTCTGCCTGGGAAAACAAAGCTGGGAGTGATGGGAAATGAGGTTGAGTAGGTGGTGGGGCCAGGCCATGAAAAGCTGTGAGTTACAGGCTGAGTGGTTTCCACTTCATCCTGTAGCTATTAGGAGCCAGCACAGGTTCCTGAGCAAGACATGGCATTTGGAATTCGTGCTTTAGGGAGAGTGACTTAGCAGCAGAGTAGAGAGTGAGCCTGGAGGCAGCGTTAGGAGCCAGAGGATGATACCTAATCTGGCCATGAGGTGACAACATGGCCAAAGCTGGTGGCCGTGGTCCAGACCCTGGAGCAACAAGTAGGAGAGATGACCTAGGGCCGTGGTCGGCAAACTGCGGCTCGCGAGCCACAGGCGGCTCTTTGGCCCCTTGAGTGTGGCTCTTCCTAAGCCTTAGGAGTACCCTCATTAAGTTAATAACAATGTACCTACCTATATAGTTTAAGTTTAAAAAATTTGGCTCTCAAAAGAAATTTCAGTCGTGGTACTGTTGATATTTGGCTCTGTTGACTAATGAGTTTGCCAACCACTGACCTAGGGGAAGTGCAGTCCTTGGTGTTCACTGAAATGCATAAAAGAAAGCATGTTGTCAAAAGTGCCTCTAATGGCCCAAGCTTAGGTGGCCCCAATGTCAGAAATGGTGGTAACTAAAGAGACATGCTATTGGGACAGGCTGAGTTTGAAGAGGCAAAGGGCAAGAAACGGCATTTTAAGGGGACACCAACAATGTACCAGGTACCATGCTATGCTTTTTCTTCTTTTTTTGCCCCTCCCCCCTTTTTATTTTACTTGTTATTTAAAAACATATATTTAAAGTGTATAATGTGATGTTTCTGTTAACATATACATTGTGAAAAGATTGCGGCAGTCAACATATATGCATCAGCTCATATACTTCCCATTTTTGTCTGTGGTGAGAACACTTAATATCTACTCTCTCAGCAGATTTCAAGTATACAATACAGTCTTATAACTACTAGAGGCCTGATGCATGAAATTCGTGCAGGGGAGGAAGGTCCCTCAGCCGGCCTGCACCCTCTCGCAATCTGGGACCTCTCGGGAGATGTCCGACTGCCGGTTTAGGCCCAATCGGACCTAAACCCGCAGTTGGATATCCCTCTTGCAATCTGGACCCCTCGCTCCTAACCACCCACCTGCTCTCTCCTTACCTCCAGGCTTGCCATTCCTTAGTGCTGCCGCAGAGGTGGGAGAGGCTCCTGCCACCACTGCTGCCCTCTCCAGCCATGAACCCGGCTTCTGGCTGAGTGGCACTCCAGCTGTGAGAGTGCACTGACCACCAGGGGGCAGCTTCTGCATTGAGCATCTGCCCCTGGTGGTCAGTGCACATCATGGCGACCAGTCATTCTGGTCATTCCACCGTAATGGTCGCTGGGCTTTTATTATATAGATGGTCACCATGTTGCACATTAGATCTCCAGAATTATTCATTTTACATAACTGTAACTTTGTACCCTTTGACCATCTCCCTATTTCCCCATCTCCCAACCCTGGTAACCATCATTCTACTATATTTGCTCTCTTTGCTTCTGTGAATTTTGACATTTTGGGATTTCATATATAAGTGAGATCATAGAGTATTTTGCTTCCTATATCTAGGTTATTTTACTCAGCATAATGTCCTGTATATTTACATATATTGTTGCAAATTGCAGGATTTCTTTCTTAAGGTTAAATAGTATTTAATTATCACAATTTATATATCATAATTTATTTAACCATTTATCAATTGAAGGATACTTAGGTTATTTTCATATCTTGACTATTGTGAATAACATTGCTATAAATAAGAGAGTGCAGCTATCTCTTCAAGATAATTATTTTACTTTCTTCAAATATATATACCCAGAAGTGGGAATGCTGGATCATATGATAGTTCTGCTATGCATTTTCGTAGGTCATCTCATTTAATCTATTTTAATTCTCATAATAGTCCAATGAGAAAGCTTGCATTCTCTTCATTTTACAATTGAGGAAATGGGTTTCAGGACATGAACTTGCCTTTAGTTACATCCACAGGTCACAGAATGGGACCCAAAACCATAACTGTGGAATCCCAAAGCCATGAGTGTGTCAACAAAGTCTTCAGACACTCTGCTTCAGTCAGATTCATGGATTGGAAGGATGAATGCCATGAGAAAATTTTAAATAATTTCCAAAACCATTCCTTTTTCACTGAAACTATACTTCAATTTATTTTTACCAAAAAAAAAAAAGTATTTACCCACATTATTCTTTCCATACCTTCTGCATTACTTCCTCTCCACTACTATCCATTACAGTCCTTCTTTTTCTATTTTTAATATGTATAATACTAATGAGCACTGAATCACAAATATTTCTATGACACTTATATTTGTCCATACTGGAACTTTTAAAAGAATTTTTTTGTTTTTGCAAGAGGCAAGCAGCATTTTTTTTTCAAATGGTATTACTAGTTGTCCATGAAGATAATTTTAAAACCCATTATGAATATAAAGAATCCAGTGCTGAAAAGGTTTCATACTCAACATCTTCTCATACTCAAAAGGATAGGACTTGTTCATCAAAAGCATTAGATGGGAATATCATGGTTTTTCAGGAATGACTTGCAACACAGTAAAACGCCATTTTGCTCATAGGACTTTGGTTAATTCCACAGCACCAAAGCCAATAAGCCATTCAGTGTCTTCAGTCAACTTACGGTTTGGAGGGCGGACAACCATGAAATCTGTGGTGTGCAAAATGAACCCCATGACTGACACAGCTTCCTGTGGTTCTGAAGTTAAGAAGTGGTGGACCCGGCAGCTGACCGTGGAGAGCGACGAAAGTGGAGATGACCTTCTGGATATTTAGGTGGAAATCAATGCAGATGGCAGTCTAATGGTGAAAAGTACTTTCTAATATTTTCCTCCACTGTCCAGTCAACAATCCATAATTGAATTCCAATTTGTCCTACGTAGGAAGGCATAAAAACTGGTCTGTCAGAATTGTGCAAATGATGGCTTATTACCATGTGTTTGAGACAATTTGCATAATGGCAGTATTAGAAATATTAGAAACTATACCAACACCAGATATAGATTGTTCAAAAATTCTACATATTCTGTCTATGTAAACTAAGATATATATTCATATGTGCTCTTATATATTATTACCACCCCTGAAAGTGTGCTAAGCCCAAAGCGGCTCATATATATGGTACAGGAGCTCTAGCTTTAGTTCATGTTTTTCCCACTTCCACTATAAATATTTCTCTTGGGGGAATTTATTATTTATAATTGATCTGAAAAGGTCAGCACGGAGCTCATGCTAAAATGATAATAATTTTACAAACTACAGATTCTGAATTTTTAGAAGTATATTCTTTTCCTTGTGTTATTTTTTTAAAAATATACACAAGATATTTAGAGGTCAGAACAAGTCAATTTCTGTCCTCAGTCACTCCAATGAAATTGTTGCCTCTTCCAAGAGAATTGTGTGTGCAGGTACCAGACAAAGAAATTGACACATGTTGCTAAATGATTTAAAACAAACCTTATAGAAGTCACTTGAGAGACATAGTTATGGAAAGATGTTGAATTCCTCAAAAAGTATTTTAATAATTGAGTTTAGAAAAAAGTGTAAAACAATTCAGCTTATTTTTAAAAATCTTTGCATGTGTGATGCCATCATTGGCTTTATTTTTTACCCAAAATATGTCCATTGTGTCATAAATCAGCAAAGACATTATGAGTTGATTGCAACACACCATCGCTGTCTTTAATTCCAAATGATTCCCCTGCTAGCAGACTCTCCTATGGAAATAATGGTACTCTGCAAATCTTCTCTGAACTCACATTTTATTCCACACCCCAACTGTATTTGTGTTCTGTGGGAAAATTAAAATGCAAAGTGATTACTGTTGGCCCACTTAGGCTGAGTCAACCAAGTAGATGTGAGTTTGAGCTTTGACTACATTATTCTTGAATGAAGATTTGCTGTTTAGATGATCTCTTTGAACAGAGTGATTATCTCAGTATCCTCTGAACATTCACCCCATCCCAGTTGCTTTATGATTTCTTTTTCTCTGTGTAACATTTTTAAAATAGCCAAATATCACAATCTTTCTGTATAACAATTTTAACATTGTGGTGACAGTCTATTGTTTCTATGATTAATTGTGATTATCAGGTAATGGGCAATTAAAGTCAGTGCAGCTGAAAGGATTTTATTTCATTTTATGTTCATTTGGCATTTACTTTTTGTATATAATAAAATGAAATAAATATTGAATTTGTAAAAGAATTTTCTCTGAGTTGACAATGATTTCTAAACCCTTTTTGTGTATGTGGGGTGGGGGGCTTGTGGGTAGGGCCACCAGATTGCTGGCACTTTGCAAACTCTCTATTTCTGAATATTCTGTCTATAATTAGTTAACAAAAGCTCTATCCCTGATATTCATTCCAGCTCAGCTTCTAAGTTCCTTTCCCATTTGTGCCCGCAGGCTAAGTGAATACCCTGTACCTTCCAAACCCATAACAAAGCAGACAAGGATGTGACACGGCCAGGGCTTGGGTCTTTACTAAATGCATGAAAACCGGATTTTTATTTTTTTTTCTCTTTTGGCTCATTATATTCGAGTAATACAGCTTCCTTCTCACAAAACTGCTGAGCCCTTCCTAAAACGTCTGTAATTTTTGTTCAGCAGAACATCACTGTTGTTCACTCTGCAGTGAAGCAAGGGGCAGAATAGCAATGTATTTAAAGCCACAGCACCCTACATTTTCAGTGAAGTGAAACAGCCAAACAATTCCCGTGGGACTTATCTCCACTATTTTCCTGAAGCCGGTAAAGCAGACTGCAAGCCGAGAAAAAAAAAAACACAAAAAAACTGCCACCCTCTCTTTGATTTTTCATAAACATATAACAGTCTGGTTATGCAGATGGGAAAACTGGCCACAATGCTCCCTGGCCCTTAGGGAGGCCAGACACTGATACTAATCCTGTCATCATGCTACCTACTGCCTTTAATTAAAGGATGCTGTTGTTTCCAAGGGCACCAGAAGCATAAGCGATAGAATACTTGACACAGAACCCCCAAGAGGAACAGACCACACATGCATAGCACATATGGCAATTCAAGGGGACTCAGAGGGAACGAGGATGGAGAGAATGGCCAGACTGATGCCATTCACTCTATTCTCAGTGGCGGTTTGAGAGCAACACCCACCAGCAGGGAATGGCCATTTATGCCCTGCCCAAGATGAATAAGACAGGGCATGTAGAAGAAAAACAAGAGTTATAAAGTGTGAAGCAAGAGCCGTTTCTGCAGCCAGGTGCATGATGTGTTTGCCTGTTTCTTTGTAGGAAGTGACATACTGTGCGTAGATAGGTGGTTCTCAATACATTGCTTAGCAGTGGCACTCTTTTTCAAGTAAAGTCCTTCAAGGGATTCCAAAATACTAACTGGGCAAAAGCAGGCAACCCTAGTTGAAATTGGGATAAAGATGAGAACCCAGGGAGAAACCAAGATGGCGGCATAGGTAAACACCGGAAATTGCTGCCTCGCACAACCACTTCAAAATTACAACTAAAAGACAAAACAGACATCATCCAGAACCACAGGAAGGCTGGCTGAGTGGAAATTCTACAACTAGAAGGAAAGAGAAAAGCACACTGAGACTCAGAGGAGGTGCAGAAGTAAAGTGCAGAGGTACAGAGGTGCAC